TATATTATTATATTAGCTAACTATTAAACGCTTAAAATAATAAAAAAAATACTTAAAAAAAATTAGCTATTATATATTATAACCTTATGCCTGGCCTTATCTTTTTATTTAGTTTTTTAAATTATTACTTAAAAATTTTATAATTATTTACCCTAACTATTTAACTCCAGGGGCTGGGAGCTATTAATAATACCTTAGTAAGGTATTATAAATAAAATTTAACTAAAATAGTTAATAAAATAAAGCTAGTATTTAGCTTAAATATATTTATTAAGCGTAATTTTTTTAAGTTTTAAAAAAAAAGGCTATTTTTATTACTATAAATATATACATGCGGTTTTAAAAGCTAAAATAAAAATACTTTAGTAACTTTAGCTATAATTATTATAAAATAATATTACTTCCTGCCCCTGTCCCTGCCCATGTAGCCATAACTATTAAAAAAGTGTTAAATAAAGCTAAGCTGCTTATTAACTATTATTAATACTTTTTACCCCGGCAAAATTAATAAGCTTTAAAATATTTATTAAACTACCTAATTATTGCCCGTATATAATATTAATAAAAAAAAAAAAAGTAAAAAAAAAGGCTTAATAAAGGCTAGCTAAGTAAAGCATAGCTAGCTATTATGCTTTAAAATACTACCTTAAAAAAATAAAAAATATAAGTAAAAAAAAGTCTTACCTACTAGTAAGTTTTAGCCCCTTTTTAAAAAAAATATAATAGGGTTATACCCTAATATTAATTCTTATAATACTTATAGCCTTACTACCTACCTTTTATACCTAGTTTATTATTTACCCTAATATATATATATTTTTTTTTATTATTATTCCTACCTATATTACATACTATCTAGTCCTTGGTTTCCGCCACTATTTAGCTCCTTTTATTTCCATGCTCTAGTACTGCCCCTCCACACTAGTATAAATAAAATAGCTATGCTAAAATACTTATTAATAAGCTATTTAGCCTTATATAATTTATATTATATAATATTAAAGCCCTAGCTAACATGTAGTTTAAGTTTTATAAAAATATTAGTTATTTATATAATTAAACTCTATACTTTATACTAAATAATATTATATTATTTAAAGCCTAGTATAGCCACTAGCTAAATATTTTTTATATTTATATTTTTTAATTTAAGGTTTATATTTTAAACTTATTAAAAAAGTAAAAAAAACTTTATAAGAACGGTAAAATAAGAACTAAAAAACTAGTTAAGTTTAATAAAAAAATAAACAAGTTATACCAGGTTTTTTAAATAATAGCTATATAATTTTAATATATAATATTAATATTATTAAAAATTACTATATTAGGCTAGATTTTTTAAAAGTAACTACTTTAGTATTTTTAAAAACCTTTATTTTTAAGGCTTTAGTATTTTTAAAAACCTTTATTCCTAAGGCTTTAGCGCCTTTAAGAATCTTTATTTTTAAAGCTTTACCTTTTTTAGGGATTTTTATTCTTAAGGCGCTGCCTAAAGCTTTAAAACCTTTAAAAATCTTTATTCCTAAGGTACCTAAAGCTCTGGTATTTTTAGGGATTTTTATTCCTAAGAACTTACTAGCTAATACTAACCTAAATATTAAAAAAAACCTTAAAAATAAATTTTTAAAAAGCTTAGCTCCCGGGGATTTCTCCGGGTATATAAATCTTAAAAATTTAGTAGTAAAAATTACTAATTTAGTTACTAAAGTTAATATATTTTTAAAAAATCTTAATTTTAGCTTTTATAATACTAGCCTGGTATACTACACACGCGCCCAGGCTATTACTAATTTTAAAAAGGCTTTTTAAATCTTAAATAAGCTAGCCTATTTATTTTATCCCTAAAATTATTATTAAAGCCATGTAAAATAAGATTACCCTAGTTAATAAACTTTATTTAAATAACCTTTAAGTACTAGCTAGTAAGCCTAGCCTAAATAATATTTTAGTACTAGCTATAATATTTTATAAGTAAATTTTTTAAAARAAATAAACTAATAGTTTAGTAAGCTAAGGCTAAAGGTAAATAAAATAAGTAATTTAAGGGCATGTAAAAAAAATATAATTTTTTAATAAAAAATAAGACTTAAAATCTTATTAACTTACCTTTTAAAAAATACTTACTCCCTAGTAAATAAGTTTTAAAGGTTAAAAAAAATTAAAAGGCTAGATTTTTTATTATAAAGCTTACTAGGTGGTCCGTGGCTTTAAATAGGTTTATAAACTTAATTATTATAAAACTTTTACTAAAATAATAAAGCTAATAAGTTATAAGCTCCTTTTTACTATTACTACCATGCTAAATTTTAAAATTAAGTAAATAAATATAAAAATAATGTTTTTATATAGGGATATTAATATTATAATTTTTATAAAATAGCCTTACCTTTTTATAAATAGCTTTAAATATATTTACTAATTTTAAAAGGCTTTTTATAGCCTAAAGTAAGTATTATATATTTAATATTAATTATTTATAAACTTTCTAGCCACGCTAGGCTTTTATCCTATTTATTTAAATTTAAAAGTTTTTACTAATAGCAAGATTTTTATTACTATATATATAAATAATTTTTTATTAGTTAGTAAAAATAAAGCCTAGATTTAAAAAATTAAAAATACCTTAAGTAAGTGCTTTAAAATATTTAATTTTAGCCCTTGCTATTACTATCTTAGCATAAAAGTTTATTAAAATTAGGCTAATTAAATACTTTAGCTTTCCTAGCTTAGCTATATAAATAAAATTTTTTACTAGTTTAATATAAATAACTTTAAGGTTTATAATATATTAATAAATCCCTGCTTAAAGCTAGAGCCCGCTTTTAAAAAATATATAATACTAGTAAATATTTTAAAATAGTACTAAAGTGCTATTAAGTTCTTAATATACCTTATATTAAATACTTAAGCTAATATTACCTACCCCGTGTTTATTTTAAGCTATTTTTTTATTAAACCTATAAAAAAGTATATAATAGTTATTAAGCGCGTGTTTTACTACCTTTAAGGCTTTATAAACTATAAACTAGTGTTTTCCAGGGATTTTTAACTACTAACTAGCTATACTAATACTAATTAAAATAAGGATTTAAAAACATGCTATTTTACCTTTAAATATATATTTTATATAGGCTTTATAATTATTAGCTAGTTTTTTAAGCACTAGCCTATTATAGCTTTATTTTTTTATAAAGCTAAGTATATAAAAAAAATATAAGCTATTAAAAAGGCTATTTAGCTTTGCTGCTTACTAGGGAAGCTTATAAATACTTAAAAAATAAATTTTATAACTATTATAATTTATAAAAATAATAAAGGCACTATAGCACTAGCTAGTAACCCCTAGTTTTATACTTAAAGTAAGTATATTAATATTTAGTATTATTTTATTTAAAAAAAAGGCTAAAGGCGTGGTTAATATCTAGTTTATTTTTATTAAAAAATAAATAGTAAATAGCCTTACCAAGCTACTAAGGCCTAAAATATTTAAATACTTTAAAGCCTTACTAGGGATCCTCCCTAAGCTTATATAAATAAGTTTTTTAATAATTTTTATACTAGGATTAGCCTTTTTTATATTAAACTTATAATAACTTGCGTATTATAAAACTATATTTAATTATTTTTATTTCTGGCTTATTATTATTATATCCTTATTTTTAGGAATTAATCTTATAGCAAAAATAATATAGCATTACTTTATTTTAAAACCTTACCCTAGTTTTATATAATATTTTAATTATAGTATTAAAAGTTAATATATTCCTAGCTTAGTTTAATAAAATCCCTAGTGCTTTTTATATTTATTTATAAGAAATCTTATTTTTAAATATTAAAATACAGGCTTATTAATATAGCTAGCTTATTAACTACCTTAATTAAAATTTTTATTTAATATTTTTTTAGGTTTTAAAGCGTGGTTATATTATATAGCTAGTAGTTTTTAAAACCCTAGGACTTTTTTAAATTAAGTAGCTAAATAATAATATTAACTTTTAATATATATAGGCTGCTATAATAATCTTATTTTTTAATAAAAAAAAATATTATTATTTAAAATTATAATTCCTGCTATAATCCCGCTAACCTATACCTTAAAAATTTTATATTTAGGGCTTAATTACACTTACTATAGCTATTAGGCTAATGCTATACCCTTTAAAATATATAGTATTATACTAGTACTAAATTTTCCAGGAAAAATTAATATTTAAAATATATATTTTAGTAAATTTAATATATTATTATGCTAGGTAATTTACCCTACACTAGGAATTAAGATTTTTAAATAAATTATTATATACTAGTTTATTATTACTAGTTAATAATATTTTTTATATAAACTAGGCCTTGTTCTTGCCCCTAAAATAATTTTTATATATTTTAATATTTATTATTACTTTTTTAGTTATAAAGGGGTTATATAATTTATAAAAAAGCTAGTAAATATACTAGCTAATTTTTAAATTTATAAATTACTTAGCTTATTATTTATTATTTAATTTACCTTAGGCTACCTAGTGCCTAAAACTTTTATTAAAAGTTTATTATTTTATATATTTTATTATTATTTATTTATATTTTTAGGGATTACTTTAGCCTATTAACACCTAAAGCTTTTATTAATATTTACTATTTTTATTATTTTAATTACTAGCTTTTTAATATTTACTTATAAATTATACCTTTAAAAAGCCTTTTTTTAGTACTAATAGCCTATAACTTATTAATTTAAAAAAGACTTTTTTTATACTAGCAGCCTATGGCTTACTAATTTAGGGAAGTTTTTAATATAAATAAAAAAAAGTACTAAAAGTAGGTGCTTAAGGCTATTAAAGGCCTTAGGGCTTTAATAAAAAAAGGTTTTTTTAACCTAAATAACCACCTGTAAAACTCTTTATTTATCCCTAGAACATTTAAAAAAGTACACCAAGCAATACAAGAGACTTCTACATACAGTAACTATTTATTCCTTTTAGTAGGCCGACGACCCCCACTTCATGCTTTCAAACAACATTCGATTGCCACCAGCCTCGGAGGGCGGATCAGGCCCCTGGGTGGGCGATCACGGCGTCAGGATCCTCAACCCAGCCACCTTCACCGAGGCCATCATGATGCTCTGGATCCGCGAACGGGCTGTGCAGGAGTATGATCTGGCAAGCATGTGGGCTTTCTTCCTACAGGCGCTTTGCGACTACCCGGGCGGGAGTGGTGTGCAGAAGAATGTCCGGCCCAAGTTCAAGGACGCTTGGGACCGCCACAACGGGAGGGGTGAGGATCCCGATGAGAATGTCTGGGATGCGTTGATCGAGATGCGCGACAGGCTTGCCTGCGCCGGTGAACTCGGTCCGTTGGTCGATCCAACCACTTGGCAGCCCCCTGCGCTTTGAATGGAATGGGCTATACAAGGCACGCTGTTCTTTCGGTCCCTATTCTGATGTACGGAAACCGCAGGGAGGAGATATGGACTGTCATTATACGCCCCTGGACGCTTGGTTGTTTACATAGCATGCTTCCTGTCTTTTCAATCTAACTGACTACCGTGCTCTTGCCCGAGTGTTGACGTTATATTCAGGTCCATGGGGACTATATTATTGCTTTGTCTCTACTACCTCGATGACTGCGTGAATCTAGATAACATGAGTATGTCTCCATTGCCTGAAAACCCGACCGATACCCGTGTGTTGCCTTGAATAGCAGGTCTTCCAAGACCGTTTGCTCGTTTACCCATCTCTCTTGTCTTTCCTCTTACTGGGCGTCGTCTTTGCTGCTTTTTGCCCACACTATCATTGCCAATAGATTGCATCCATTTCCTTACGCTCATTACGACCGGACCGTCTTTACTGCTAGATGCTTTCGTTCCTCTGCGATTTAATATCACCACACTCTTGTTGCCAGTGGACGCCTTGCATTTCCTCCCTTAGCGTATTCTGGTAACAAGCTTTAGGTACATAGTCTAGCGATCAAGCCTTCCCGTAGTCCACGTGGCCGGTTTGAGTGCCTCGATAGTCTTCTTGGAGGCTCGCAGATAGGTTGACCACGTTTGCTGGAAGGTTCCAGACCGACGGAAGACAGTTTCCAAAGGTTGGAGGCGCTGTCAGTACCTTGGAAGGTTTCCTGAGCTTCCAAGTATTAACAGCATCCCCTTTTCGTCTTTGGCTTTTGCTTCCTCTCTTTCCTTTGTTTCACCCTTCGCTTGTCTTTTCCTCTTCCTGCCTCTTTTCCCTTTGCATATTTTTGGTCCGCCCACCGTCCGTCTCCATGAATCCGCAATAGCCAATCGAGGTGCTGTTCGCGATTATAGGCCCAAGAAATCAATACCTGTCACATGCACAAATTACCGTCTGGTTCCTGATTGTGGTAGGAAGATATCGACCAACCGGGGCTTGTTTCCACACCCGCTAGAATAATGGTAGATTCCAACTGTAGCAAAAGACCCGGACAGCACAACCATCGAATTCCGGGACTAAATCCAGGGCCATTGTGGTATGAATAAGGCGATTAAGAGCCAACGTCCAAGTGGGTCCTACCTTTCGAGGGTGCTACTTGGTTCTGTTAAAGATATCGGCCGACTTCTGCCGCACGATGTCCTCTAGAAGCAATAAAAGGGCTTTCAAGCAGTGCGCCTAAATCGGACTAGTTGGCATCCGGTCAACGAGGCAGGATGGCGTGACAGTTGGGTTGGAGGAGTCTTAAATGCTCGAGGTACCTGCTCGAGTCCATCCAGCTGCTCGAGCAACCCCATACTATCAATCACTTTGGATCCATTTCCACTCTTCATGGATGCTAAAGCCGTTTCGAAGAAACTAGCAACTGATGTTGCATTTTATCTTGATAAGGCCAAAGTCCCAAATCTCCTTTTTAGATGGCAGGCTCTTATCCTAGCCGGCAGCCATATAATAAATGGTGAGGTCGACTTTATTATCCCTGATCATCAGATGCCAACGGCCATTTCGACCCTGGTGGGATTTGGGTACCCCCTTTGCACGGACCCCAACTGCTTGCAACTGCGCCATAACCGAGTTAGGGTTAGGCGTGGACGGAATGCACACGAATATCTCGTCAACAATCAATTCCACCCAGTGCCCGCAGCACATTTCCATTTCGAATCGAACCGGATCCTTCTATCTTTGCATGTTCAATCTGCCCTCTTATGGTGGCTTCCAGAGCTGCAGACCGGCCCCCCTGCAGCTGACGACCCTCATCTTATGCTTTCAAATGATCCCCGGTTGCCTCCAGCTTCCCACCAGGGATCGGGCCCGTGGGGGGACGACTTCCACCCCATCAAGATCCTCAACCCGAACTCTCTCACCGAGGCAGCCATCTTTCTTTACTGTCGGGATGCGGCCCGGAAACATTGCCTCACCGCGCTTTGGGTGCGCATGATGCGACGCCTCGGAGATGTTGACGGCGTCAGCCCCACGAAACACCTCAGCAGGCCTGATTTCCAGGTGGCATGGGACTGCCTCAACCAGCGCGGCCCGGGCATATTCATCTATCGAGAAATCCAGCTGCTGCGTAACCGTCTTGCCCGTGCCGGCGAACTCGGCCCGTTGATCAATGTTAACACCTGGCAGCCACCGGATAATTGGGCTTGAGTTTGGGTTTGGTAGGCAACTTCTTTGCTATAAGACCTTGTCTTGCTTTTGTTTGCCTTCTTTTGCTCTTATCTTGTGTTTCCTCTGCCTTTACTCAACACTGTCTTCTTTCTTTGTGTGTTTTGTTGGATGCCAATGACGACCTGAAAAGAACCCGTTGCTTTGTGACCGCGGTCTCACTTTATTATGCCTTTTTTTATACACTTATTAAAAAAAAAAACCCTCTCTCTCTCTTTTTAATAATTAAATAATAATTAATGTCTTACCTGCTCCATGGGCTTGCTGGTAGATCCGTGTGCTAGAGTGAGTACGGCTCTGGTTAAGTTTTCTGGCTGCTTGAAAGCGCCTTGAATAGCGCCTTTACTCACCCATGCTCGCCTTTTAGCAGGTGAAGTTATGTTTGCCTTACCAGCTAGTGTTAGCAACAAGGCCTTCCCCAACGGGCGGACGTCCCTTTGCTCCAGTCCGTGATCTTTTGCTCTTGCGGCTCCTCTCAACGCCTTAAAGAGCCAACCGTGACGCGCGTGCCGCTAATACGAACGAGGCTGATTAACTTGTCCTCATCGCCATAAAGGGTTTGCATAACAAACAACTTCCCTTGACTCCTAACCAGCGGTAACTAGCCCGCTCTGTGCTGCTAATGTTTGCGCCCTTCTCGCGCTTTTTGGTTAAGCAGTGGCGCAAGTGGATTCAGTAGTCGGGCTAGGACGGGGAGAGTACCTTAACTGTAATGGCAAGCAGGTCTAAGGGAGGACCTTTCTCTTGCATTGTTAGGAAGGATGATAAGGTGCGGAGGCTGGGCTTCTTTGTTTCTAGATTAAGGGTACCCTAGGCCTTTGCAAGTAGTTGTCTGTTTTCTTTTTGTTTCTTTCCCTTGATTGTTGTCTTTGGCCGTTGCCTTTTCCTTATTGTTACCACACTGTCCTTTTTAATTCCTTTTTATGTCTTTTGTTTTTCTGCGGTTTGGCCTTTCCCTTTTATTACTAGACTGTTATTACCTAATCTTCTTTCTGTTCTTTTTTGTTTATTTCTAGCGTTTGGCACTTCCTCTTGTTACTAGACTGCTATTACCAATAAAATACATCCATTCCATTGCTTTTAAGTGCTGCTTTAACAAGCCTACTAAATCCTGCAGTCTATTCCCGTAGCCTAAATCACCTTTTTGTGCCTTGATCCCCTGCTTAGAGGGCCCTGAATCCCCCTTTCTGCCGCGGCGCCCTTTAGACCCAATGTCTTGTTCCGGTGTTTGATGATAGGCGAAATATGTCTGCTGGAAGGTTCTAGAATAATAAAAGAAAGTTTAGTGGCGCTGGTAGAAGGTTTCCTGAGCTTGTATTAGCGGTAGAGCGTAGTTTGTTTCTCCTCCCATGTTTCGGGCGGAAATAAGATGCTTTACGGCTGAGCGCAGCTCCTGCTTTGCAGTACCCAGCAACGGTAGATTCTACTTGCCTAGCATAGGGAAAGAAAAGCCTAATAACGCTGTCCGCCTTTTGTGAGCCCGCGAGACTTTATCTTGCTGTTTTTTTTTGTAACGGCGATTTTATTTTTGGCAGAAATACCCTCCCGCTAATGAGATTGGCTTGTAAGCGAGAGCTAGCTCCAGCTGTTGGCATTGTTGAGTTGTTGATTGTTAAGGTTTTGTCAGCAGGCAACCTATGCATTGCGTGGTTGATCTGGAAAATCCCAGGGTTTAGGTGGTTCTTTTAAAGTCTAATTGGTATTTTGCACGTTATTGTTTATAAAGCTTTATACAGACGCCAATAACTGGTCCAAGCTGAATGTGGGACGTGGTATTATGACAGCGATGCTGGGCTATGCTGATGCTTTTTACAAAGCCTATGCACAAGAAACGAAGGACGCCCAGAACAGAGAACCTTATTAGGCCCGGTTTTGGATCCTATTGAGCAAGCCTGTAATGTCATTAAGGAGGCTGTCTTATGTTATTGGTGTCTAATGGTTCCGGTGTCTCCACAGAGGATAATAGTAGAGCGGGGACCACTAATCCTATTGATATTGGTTATAGGCAGTGAAATGCATTGGGCAATTATTTGGCAAAGCCCAGCCACGTGTTAAACTGCCATGTAATAGACCGTTATATGTAAACTCTAGATTTGTTTCATGGAATTGCTTTCTAGAAGGTTACTAATTATAGTAACCTAACGGACCGGGCTTGTTTCCTTGGCCAGCTGTTCCTAGGGATCCTACCCTCGGGTGAAGGATAGAGTGACTGATGCCACTTTAATTAAGTTCTTGTTTCCTAGTTAGCCCTTGTCTGCGGTCTTCTTTAACCGTACTGGAATTTTTTGGATAAGTAATAAAAAGGTCTCCCAAGTGATAGTTCCTTTTAACTAGTGGGGTATAATAAAGGAAAGGACCCAGGCAAGCTATAAATCCCCACCGTATGTTTTTAAGTCCGTCCCCTGTTTGGACTTCTTGATCAATTTCTTAAAATCTATTACTATTAGCAACATCCTACTATGTTAGAATTCTTCGCGCACCTTGAACGTGCCTCTAGGAAAATAGCAACCAATGTTGCTTTTCACTTGGACAAGGCAAATGTTCCTAACCTTTTTTTTGGATGGCAGGCACTTATACTTGCTGGTAGCCGCGAGATTCCGCATGAAATTGACTTTGTGATCCCAAATAGTTAAATGTTTACTCTTACGGGTGCCACTGCAACGCTTGTTGCTTCTAGTTATAAGCTTTGCAAAAATCCCCGGTGTTTAGAAATAATGTGTGATTAAGCTGGAAGGCACCCAAATAATATAACTCTTGTTATATTAAGTAACTGCTACCACCCAATCCTAGCAGCCTATTTCTATTTTAAAGGCAGCCCATGCCTCCTATTGCTGCACCTCTAGTCCAAGCTTCTCTGGTGGCTGCCGGAATTACAACCGGGACCCCCGGCTCCCGATGATCTAGATCTTCTTCTTTCAGATAATCCTTGCCTGCCGCCAGCGTTGGCTATAGCATCGGGCCCCTGGGTTGGTGACCACCCTGTTAAAATTATGAACCCTAACTTTATTACCGAGGCTATTATAAGGCTCTGGGCTTGGGACCGAGCTCGGGCCCTTTGGAGCCTGTCCAGGCTGTGGACTGCTATGCTAGGGGCCCTTTTTAACAAAGGCATATAACGCCCAAGTGTTTGTAAGCAGCTTAGACCCGGGTTCTAACTTGCATGGGACTGCTATAATAAGCGGTTGCCTCGCACAGGGCATTTAACCTGGCATAAGATGTTATTACTAAGGGATAGACTTGCCCGCGCTGGCGAACTTGGACCCTTGATTAATGCTAGTACTTGGGAACCTCCCACTAATAAATAATTTGTTGTTTGATAGTTTTCTTATCTTTTCCTGGCGGCTATTTTATGGTTTGTATCTTGTGTACCCAATGCTGGCTTGGAATCTTTTCTTTGTATGGGCTATTATGGACTTGTCCTTTTTATCTATGTGCTTTGTTTACTGCTGTGGCCTCTAAAATAAAAAAGGAAATGGATTGTGTGAATCTTGGAAACCTTTATATTTTATGTTACCTTTATATTTCTTACTGGACTGCCAGGCCAATAAACTATTTCCTATTGCGTTTTTTCTATATATTGTAATAGACTAGGTTGCACTCTGCTATAGGACTCTCCCGCGATCACTGGCCTTTGCTGGGCGGTAAACTTAGCCATTCCGCGGACTCAGCCTTCGGCGCCCTGTCTTGTTGGGTTTGGCTACGGCGAAGGGATGAGCGAGGAGCGGCATAAGTATGGATGAATAAGTGGTCTCTTCTGCTCCAGCCAGAGAGCGTGGATTGAATGAACTTAAGACACGCAACTCGGTTGGGACTGACTGACAGACAAAGCTACACCGATCAAAGGATTAGAAGAACGGACCTGCAAGCAACATCGAACCATCTAGCCGGATCGCGGTCTCCAGCATGCCATTCCAGGACTGGTATGTTCTAGTCCTCCGAGAGCTCCCTCGACTACTCCTCGGGTTTATGGTAATTCTTGGGATCAACCCGAGGTCCAAGTTGGTCACTCTCTGCCCCAAAGTTGCGCAGCTTGAAGTAACCGTGCCATTTAGTCCGGTCAATTGGACGCCGGTTGAGATAACAGTCCCATACGTATTGAAAGTCAGGTCTGACCTAGTTATGCAGAGTAAGTCTTCCAAGCAACTTCCCTGCGATGCCCTGACTTAAACAAGTTTACTTAAAACTTGGTTTGCTGATTTACCAGCAGGAACGCCTGAGCGCGAACCTTCCTGCATGCATTTCGTGTTTCCGGCCCGTGGTAAGTATTTGTCCGTTGGATGCCCATATAGGACCCCAAACCCGTCCCGTACAGCGCCCTTTCTCGCTTATTCTTATTGAAGGCCTGTCTTAGCAAGGATCCATAAGCCCGACTCAATGAGCCCACTACAGTCCACAGAGAGCGCAAGGTCAGGGGCCCATGTTCTAATATCGTGCTCCTTGTAATATTAGGATATAAAGATACCCTTTAGTTTCCAGGGATAAAAGGCAAAATAAACGTAACATAAGGAACACAAAACGCCCGTCCCTGGAACAAGTTACCGAATCGTATACCCCCCATCAACCCTAACATCCGCCCCATTGATCATCCCACTCGAGTCCTGCTCCCACCACGCCAGTTAGCCAACCCCTTAACCCGAACCTTTACGCCTGCCCTTACCAACAACGAGACCAAGACCAAGACCAAGACCAAGAACAAGAACGGACTCACCCGACACAGGAAAACAACCGCATCGCCAACCTCCCCGGGCACCACCGCCCTTCCCGTCGGAATACTCTGCAGCAGCCTCTCCTTCACCCCTTCCCCGCCCCACGCCTTCCGCCCCAACTCCGTCCACGCCACCGTCGGCGACACCGTATTCGCCGTTATCCCCTTCCCCGCCCACTCACTCGCCATGCAGCGCGTCAGCCCGAGCACCGCCGCCTTGGAGGCACAGTACGCGCCGTGTCCGTGCAGCGCGACATGCGCGGCTTGCGAGGCGAGCGTTACGATGCGCCCGGGCGGGACGGACCCCGAACCCGTGTCCGCGTGTGTGTTGTTTTTCGCTTTCGCGGCTTCGGCGGCGGCGAAGTACATGGTTGCAAAGGCCTGCGAGCACAGCGTTGGGCCCAGCACGTTGGTCGTCAGGTGCTTGAGGGTTTCGTGCGCTGGGGTTGTGTGCAGGGGGCTGAGGGAGACGTAGCCGGCGGTGTTGATTAGGATGCTGGGGAACGCGTCGAGGTCGGGGTGTTCGTGGTCGGCTTTTAGGGAGGTGAAGGCGGCTTGCACGGAGAGGGGGTTGGTGATGTCGCATTCGTAGGTGGTGATGTTGGTGGTGTCGTTGTTGTAGCGGGATGAGAGGAGGGCGTTGCGCTGGGCGGCTTCGAAGGGGGCGTAGAGGATTGCGAGGTGCGCGCCTTCGGAGCGCAGTTTTTCGCCGATGGAGGAGCCGAGGCCGCCTGTTTGTTACTTGTCAGTGGTGAGTTTTATGGTTTGGATTTGGGGGATAAGAAGGGGATAGATGGGGGTTTGCATTGTCGCACCAAGGCCGCCCGGGAGGATTGCGAGTCTGCGGGCGAAGGCCATGCCCAGAGATGGGAGGTCTATATAGGGATCTATACGGGTACGGAAGATAGAGAGATTGAAGAATTGAATTGACCTGGATTAAAGGTCGTGCGGGGTCCCCGTTATATTTGCATCTGAGTCATGCAAGGGAGACTCCCGGACTTTCTCCGGCCAAGAACAACGCATACGTCAGACCTGGATGGCCCAGCCATGTGCATCTTAAGTTCTTAACTGATCAAGCCTTAATGCCCGTACGTTGACAAACTCGGCGGCAAATCCTCAACCCGAGTGCCCCATCCGCTTTCCTCCTCCCCAAGCTCCAGCTCCAACACACCCCCCTCCGCAAAGAAATCATGGCCGATCCAATTCTTCGTCCAGGCCTTCCCATCCCTCTTCACACTCTGGATATAGATATTCCCGTAGGCCGGGTCGAAATTGATATTCCGGACGGTCGCCACCTTGCCCGTGACCTCGTTCCTTATTCTAACCTCCTTGAAGAACGGCGGCGTGATCAGATACACGTCCTGGCCATGCACAGGGAACAGGCCGAGCATCGCAAGCACCGCGAATGAGCCCATTGCGCCGCTGTCGTCGTTACCGGGGATGCCGGCGACGGACGTATTAAACTGCCATGGGATGTACCTGTGGGCCTGTTTAGCTGATAATCCCGGGCGGCCGGCGTAGTGGAATTGGTAGACTGTCAAGAAGGCCTGTTCGTCGCCGAGGTAGAGGATGCCTGAGCTGTGAAGGAAGGAGAGACGGGAGACGAAGGAGTCCGCGCCGCCGAGGGTTGTGATAAGAGCGGCCATGTCTTGCGGGACGAAGCTGGAGACGGGTGGTTAGCATAAAACCCCTGATCTGCAATGAAGCATGGTAGGGCGAGAAAAGGCTTACAAGGTATAGAGCCAACAACTGCCCTCATACGTCTCATGCCCGTTCTCGTTCAGGTAACAAGATGTGAAGTTCAATAATGGGCTGCAAAAGATCGGATCCTGGTATGCCCAGCTCCCATTTTCGAGGCGCGGCTGGAGGAAACCGGTGAAATTGGTGTCGACACCTTGGACCGCCGACGACTGATCTTCTTTCCAAAGGTTCAGCCAGTTCCCAGACCGTCTGATATATTTGTCGCGATCCGCCGTGTGACCCAGCTTGTCCGCCATGAGCGCAATGCAAAAGTCATTGTATGCATATTCGACAGTCCTCGACACACTTCTCGTCCGCAGTCCTTCAGTGCCTGGGTCCGTGTCATTCTTCGGGATATACCCGAGGCTTTTCCAGCTCGCGAGCCCGCCGCGTCCTTCAACATTCCAGTTTAGTGGCTCGACCTCTGCGTCTTTCACAATCGCCTCGTATGCTGTATCCCAGTCGACATCAATTACGCCCTTGAGGTAGGCTTCTGCGATGAGCACATCCGCGTTCGAACCGCCCTGAGTCCATCCCTTACAGAGCGACATCCGGCAATCTGGTAGGTAGCCTTCATGGCGGTAGATGTCGACCAAGCTTCGGATCATGAGGGACTGCGATATGGGATCGATCAGTGTAAGTAGTTGGTGGATACCACGAAACGAATCCCAGATGCTGTGTGTCAACTGTCAGCTTGACTATAGACCAAACTGGTTGAGAGAATCTTACCAATAGAAACTATCGTAATACGGTTCGTCGCTTTCCCACAACGGGTTCTCCCCAGTGTAGTCCTGGGGACTAATCATAGCACGGTACGCACCACTCCAAAAGACCTTTTGGAGGTCAGTCGACACGCCCTCGGCGTCAATTGTGATGACATCCATTTTCTTTCTCCAGGCAGTCTCAGCAGCGGCGACTGTTGCGTCAAAGTCAAAATCAGGTTGCTCTTTTTCGGCATTGGAACACGCCTGCTCGACGCTGATGAAACTCACTCCGACTCGCGCAGATATGACATCGTCCGCAGATACGGAGTCGAATCTCACGAACGTACCAGCGGAAAACTGACTCGCGGAGTAGGACGAATTGATCGAAACTGATACCGTGGATTGCCCTATTTCGGCGCTCGAATTCGTCCACGCGCCGCTATCACGAATATCCGCTCCTCGGAAGTCAACGCAAACATGCATGTTATACGTGCCCTGGCCAAAGCTGGGATTGAAGTTGCCGCTTGCAGTCAGTCTGCCGGTCCTGGGATCAACCGAGGCAGTCCCGTTATTCCTCGACTGCGGAAGGTCGGTAATATCGAGGAGAATCACCGGTTTGAGATCTTGAGTCGCAGCAGGGAATCCGAAACCGTATAAAGCGGAGTGATTCGTTACAGCCATTTCAGCGTGGACGCCATTGTCAAGACCGATGCTGAAATACCCAGGCCGCGCTTTAGGCGAGTCACGATTCCACGCGACTGCTCTGTCCGACGACGTCCAGGCGCATTTTGCGAGCTCATCCTCGGGACAACCGGGATGGACGAAAAGAGGGAAGTTCCCCATGGATGAGGCCTGACGTATTGTCAATGTGGAGTGCAAGGAGACCTTGTTTGCATAACCTACACCTCCAGTCCCCGAATCGTGCATGTGCGAGAACCCCGTTACATGCGTAGTGTCGTAGGCGAACCCGCCTTGGTTTTCCCCCTCTGTGTCGGCGACGGCTTTGACCATGCCTGCGCGTGTTATAAGCCCAGGATCAACGGTGTCGGCGAGTTGACTTACCAAAAGGCAAGGTCGCCCCGGCGAACGAATGCCCTAAAGAGAGTTAGCCACCGATCGGCGACTTGATGCTTCGAAGGACTAGCTTACCTCCATTTGCAGTGCCTATGAAGGGGTCGATGAGGTCCAAGACGTCAAAATTGCTCGAATTTTGCCCTTTCACTGACGGAATGCACAATAGCAGACGGCCGATGATCCGAATCGCCGGAGCCTTTCGACGCAGAAACCATTTCATGGCCACAAATGGCCACAACTATCGTCTTGATAAGAGTTTTGGGAGTGAGTAGAAGTCGGGATATGGTTTGGTTGGAATTCCGGGAGAGCTGGGAGGCAGGAAGAACATTCCGCTTCCATGACAAACAGGAGCAGTTAACCCCGCCTTCAGGATCGCCCAAAAGGCGGAGGCAGGGGTTGGTTACATTGGAGGGAGGGAAGTGAGGGGGATCGTCAGGCGCATTGACAAGGCGACTGGGCCAACAGACAGGGGTCGACTTTAGGAAGCTTAACCCGCTCCTCGGGGTCTGTTACCGCGCCCTGGCTAAAGAGAATCGGGAGGTACCACAGCCGCAGCCACAGAATTTCATATGCTTCCCTTGACGAAGGATGACATGAACAACGTCTGTGAGCCCCAATTGAATACGGGAATGCCTGGCTGACCGGTCTGACTTTGTCCCTTCGGGCGCGTGCACACCCCCGCTAGGGGTAGGAGGGATCAAGCGCCACGATTGGGCTAAAGGCTAGAGCGCATATGCCGATCAGTCGGCGAAAGATACTATGGAGTATGCGCAGAGCCTGGGTCTCGCGCGATCAACCACTATAGGCCGCGTCCTCGGAATTTGAGCTTGATGCGACGCCTGTCCGTAAGACGGCGAGGGTCGTTCGGGGCCTGCCCCGGGGGATGAACCACGCACCAAAAAGCAGTCCAATGATTTTCTAGATCTTGATGCTCAGATCAAATCCATCACAATCCTATCCCACGATTTCCCCGCAGTGTCAGAAGATGGACGCGGGATTTGAGAGGTGTCTCCGCCAGGCGCCGCTGGCTTTCCCGTTGCCAAATTCGAGTCCAAATACGCCCTAAGGTTTGCATTGTCTTGTCGCAAATGCGCGTTCTCGGACAGAAGCTCTTGGGTACGGCTGCGGTGGAAGTCCAACTCCGACATCATGCCGCCGAGCTTGAGTAATAAGTCCATCGAGTACTGAGACTCTGGAAAGGCGCCATTGGCACGGAGGAAGTCCCGAGCTCGGTAGAGAGTGTTGGGATCAAAAGCGTCCGGAGCAGCATGATCTGGTGCAAAGGACGGACCGTGCATCCTGTGCTGAGGTACCGGCGTGAAGTGGCCGGCAGTTGCTGTCCCTGCAGGACTAACGATCCCACTGGCGGACAAAGGCGTGGCTGTACGGGAAGCTTCGGGAGATGCCAACGAAGTTCTTTTTGACGGAGCATAATCCCATCGTCCAGCGGTGCACGCCGGACAATGAAATCTGGTCTGCGCATAAGGGATGGTCGATGCTGCCAGACATGATCGATGGTACGCTCTACAGCAGGTTTCACAGGGAAGTAGATCGTTGGGCCCGCGGCACTCAGAGCATATTACATTATGAGGCTCTCCCGAGGCTGGATAGTGATTAGCTGAGGCACTGAGTGGACACGATGAGGTGTACCGACCGAGCCACTGTTTATATAATGGGTGCTTCTCCGCTTCGGCAGTTTTGGAGTCGGGAATGGAGGCGCTTGAGGGACGTTGAGATAAGGTGAGTGGATTACATGCGTGTTCCCGGGCAGTTTTTGTAGTTCTCTCAGCCCAAAGGCGTGGCTTTGAGTTCTGTCTCAGCATTGTGGTGAGTCGTGTGAGACTTCCACCACCACACCCGGAACAGGTTGTTCCTTCCGGTCGCTGGGAGGTTGTTCCGTCCGGCGCTAGAAAGTTGATCCGACCGACGCAGGAAAGTTGATCCGACCGAGTTATCTCCGGTGGCGCTGCCGAACTTCCGGATCGGTCATTCCACCCTGCTTGGAATCAACAACAATGTCATCTATCCTTGATTCCTGGCTTCATCCATCGATTGACGGTGCCTGACTTCCTGATAATGCCTGGAGTGCCGTCCAACAAGGCATGTGGACGCTGCAAAAAGAGACACCTCAAGGTTGGTGCCACTCCCTTATCTCCGGATACGTAGGGGCTGATAACGCAGTGTGATGAAACACGACCGCACTGCCAACGCTGTACCGATGCCGGAGTGGAATGTCCCGGCTTTGTGCAGACGCGCAAGTTCATTGATCAGGGCGCGTCGGTAAGAAAGCGGTATGCTCCTTATCAGGAGAATGGGCCCAAGCCTACAACTGCGAAGGCCAAACGTGTAAGCCAAGCTATACTCTTCCTCCATGGAGATGCCAACTAAGAAATACAGCAGCATCTTGAAGTACAAAATGGAGATGGCAGTAGTCTTCAAAGCCAAGGCCAATCTACTTCCCAAATGCCTCCATTGGACGATGTCGATCATCGCCCGGCAATCCCTTCGGCATTGGACAGTGCTCCTATTCTTCCACCAATTCAGGCGCATGCTTCAAACGTCGTTTGCAGCGGAATGATGTACAGTGCTGCGCCTGATTCTTCATGGCCGGGTTCAGATGCCCGCATTGGTCCCCCAGCGACTGTAGGTGACGCCAGCGCTGGCGCTGGCACCTTCACCGAGCACCCGAGTCAGCCTTCACCTAACACCAGACCCTCTTTATCTCGGACTCCTTCCCAGCGCGGCGAGCAGGAGGAGTTTCAGGATATATTCTCTGAGCTCATGACCGGGACAGAACACGAGATATCCTTTCTAACGCGGCACTACTGCGAAGTCATCTCTAGCTGGTATGCCTGGACGTTCTTCTACTCCTGCACCTACTTATACCCCTCCAGGTTCGATGTTTCAGATTCCAGGAAATTCTTCGGTGGCTACGTGCCAATCCGAGCGATAGACGAACAGTCACTGCGGTATGCAATCGCAGCTATCTCAGCCAAGCATCTTGCCAGGATGAAAGGCGTCAAATCGGTATTCACCGGTGGTCTGTTCACATCGCCTGCAACCATGGAGACTTACCCCAGCGCTCATCAAGTCGATTGGTCGTTGAAAGCTGCCAACTACTATTATCTCGCAGTCTCGCACATGAACAAGTCAATGTCGGACTACGCCGCTGTGTCTACGTCTGACGTTCTGGAACCACCAATATCCGTGGTGAACCGCTGGCTCAACCTCCAGCTGAAACGCGGAGAGGAAGGCCCACGCACCACTGATGGAACGTGGAAAACGACCGAGAATCTACTGGCTACCTCAACGATCCTCACCCTCTACAAGACTTTTGATGAGCCAGGGGAAAATTGGCAGTCGTATGTTTCGTTGATGCTTCCCAGCGTCGAGGCCTAGACTAACTCTCACAGATACCTCGCTGGCGTTAAACAGCTGTTCAGTCAATTGCTGGGGCTTACTAGAAAAGACGGTGACCGTCACTTTTCTCCCGGCGTGACGGCGGTATTCTGGAATTTCGCAAGGATGGACTATCTGGCCTCGTACTATAACCGACTACCAACCCATCTGAATCCCGACGACATCGCAGTATGGCAAGCAGCGGGCCTGTCCTTGGATGAGCAAGGGAACCTCGATCCCCCAGACGTCCCAAGAACGCAGGCCTTTTCGCGTGAAGACATGGCAACCAACGTCCTAACACGTCTCCTCAACAAGCTAACAAACTACCTCGCGGCGGCCAAAAAGTCGCAGCTCGAAAATTGGGTCGGCGGGTCATCTCCCGAACCCTCCAGCCGATCCAGCTCCCACTCTCCCGACTCCCACCCCACAACTGCGACCTGGCTGAAGCTCTCATTCGAGTTCCAGTCTTGGGTCGAGCGAATCCCAGAGACGTTTCGTCCTTGTCTACGCATCGAGCGGCCAAAGCCCTCTCCAACCGACACGAGCTTTATGCCCTTCCCCGAAATCTTCTACAGCCTCACATCTTGCGCCGCTGCAATGCAGCAGTACCACTTCGGCCGCCTTGCGCTGTCACTGAACCGACCGTCCGATGACATTGCCGGTCCCAGTACCGCATTCGACCGCCTGCAGAGCTACAGGGAGTTGACGAAGGAGGTTGACTATCGCTGCAAGGAAATTTGCGGGATTGCGCTTGGTAGGCCGCAGAGCGGTGCTCGTGTGCAAATGATCACTCTGCTTTATGCGGTCGGGCAGTGCTTGGAGAGGCCTGAAGAGCGGCAGATTGTCATGGACCTCTTGCGCGGCATTGAGGCGGACCTGGGTTGGTCGACCGCTTCGCAGGTGCAGAAGCTGCAGAAGTAAACCTTTATTCACTCCTGCCGGGTGATAGGGCGTTGGAAGCTTACTCAATTGCTTGCAACATTTCCCTTCACCTTGCTTAATGATACATCGGGGTCCTTCATATGCACTATCACCCGTTCGATTCTCATCGGCAAGGTTGACTACGGTCCGCAAACGAAAGCCGCCAGGTTACGACTCTGGGTGGGAAATGCAGAAACCATCTCTTGGTTGAGAGCGCCATCCATTTGATGTTCCCATCCCAGCGTCCTGCGCTAGAATTGTATCAGCACCCGGACCTCGAACTTCCATCTCTCTTGAATCAGGATTCCTGATTCCTCGTTGACCTCAGCGAACCAGATGAAAAGCCATATCATCTGCGCAAAGGTGTCCGCGGAAACTCAGACCTTAGACTAATGCAGGAGATGTCAAGCGCGAGCAGGCCTTTGGTGAGAAGCTGAAACTGCGATACTCACCGGCAATTAAGCCATCTATGAGCTGTATAGCTATCCTCAGCCTGGCCTTCATGGTCAACTTTTCATCATCGATTACACTGCGATGAGGGCACTGCAGCACTGTCACGAGCTCATGGCTTCCTCAGATTCTTACCTTTCATTCCAGTCTCGGCACAAATACACAGCTCTCTTTGTTTCGACATATTCTGAACCCAAGCATCTATATCCTACCAAACGCAAACAGGCATAGATACAAGGGTTTTGGAGAGTATCGTTGAAGGGAGACGAAACTAGAAGATTGCGAAACAAAGGACAACAAAAGCTCGAGAAGAAAAAAAGGAACAGGCCACATTTCAAAAAAAAAAAAAAAACCATTGATATCTTGCCGAAAGTGCGCCCCAGATGCATATTAAGGTTAGGTACCATTCCAGTCGAACCTTCATGTTGTTACAGACTGTTTGACTATGCGCCTGAGAAGACACCTAGATAGGCTACCTGCCAACAACAATCTGGTCATCCAAATACACAGCAACCCTTTGTCCAGGTCCGCGATTGACAACGATCGCCGTACCAGCTCCCATGCCCGTACGGTTCGGAGGCACATTGTACTCGATGATCTCATGGCCGTAACCCATCTCCGTCAAGGCGCGCTTCATGATGTCGACTTGGTCAGGCAGAAGCCTGGCGCCGTTGGCCATTGTCTCGAAGCCTGACATGGGCGGTCCTTCGTGCCACCACCGACCACAGATAATAGTTGTGCCGGCGGTCGGAAAGAGATAGGAGTTCTCATCGCGGATCCGTTTCACTTCACGCATCATGGCGCGCACATTCTCCTCACTGACTCGGCTGTCCAGGTTAAGGTTGCTGGGGTTTGGGGGAATGTGTGCGAGGATCGCGGCGTCCGCAGACCAGACTGCCACGACGGAGCAGGAGCCCAACCCGTACGTGCCGATTGCGGGGGCTTGGTTGAAGCGGATCATTCTGACTTCACCCATCCCAACAACGAGGGCTCTGCGTCTGTCTTTTAGGATTGCGAGGTAGCCTTCGGGGAGGCCGTCCGGTCGTCGTCCGACTTGTGACATGATGAGCGGTCTGGGTGGACTGGTGGGTGGACTGGGGGAATATGCAGATAGAATATAATAGACTGGAGTAGGGGATGGATGGAGCTGGTTGGGTTTAGTTATGAATACTGTGTTCAGATGCTTCATTTATACGTCGTTCGGCTCGCTGGACCGGCATTTTGCAAGCATCCATATCCATAGATAGCACTATACTTGGCTGGCGTATCGCTTTGGGCAGTGCTGGACCGGCACCACCTTTCCATCTGGTTGGGTACAATTGCTCTATAGATGAAGGGGTGACTGCCCTAACAAGGCCAAGACGGGCGGTTGTTGCAGTTGCCGCTGCCAAGAGCTGACTCACCCTGAGGGGGTTACTCTCCCTCCCTTCGTCCCTTCTGATTGCTTTTCACCTTCCTCGTCCGCTCTCTTCTCATAGTCCATCTATCTACGTGTTGTCCATCCGCACAGCCAGCATGTCCGTCAACACGATGCCCTCGACGCCCTTGGCCGGTCGCATTACCGATCCGATTCTGCTCGAGGTGCTCAGCAGATACACCAAGACCTCGCCCGAGACGGTCGACGACCTGTTGGCTGCCTGCATTGAGAATGACTTGCCCAAATTCAGGGCCAGATTTGACGATTGGGCGTCAAGTGGCTATGATGTCCATGAGCTTGCTGACGTGATGCGAGAAGCCGTGTGCCGCAACAATGTCGAAATTGTCTCCATGTTACTCTCGCATGGACAGAGTCCGGAAGCCAGTTACGCCACAGACGCAGTAAGGCACAGAGCAAAGGATGTGCTTGCAGTCTTCCTGCAAAACGGCTGGGATATCAACGGGTGTCCAGCTCAGGGTCGCCCCCCTGTACTCGGGTAACTATTCTCTCTCCCAAAGCGTCATGCTGGACTATTCTGATATTTGATGGCAGTCTCGCCGTCCACGATGAGGACATGGCCACATGGCTTCTTGACCGCGGCGCCGACCCAAACCAGCAATCCCTGATTGACCTCACGCCCACGTCTGTGGCCGTCAAGGAAGCTCCTCTTTCCACGATCAAGCTATTCTTCGACCGAGGCGCGGACGTCAATAAGGGACAGCTGCTCCATCACGCTGTTGAACGTGACTCCGGCGAAGCGGGCGTTGTAGCTTTTCTTCTTGAAAAGGGCGCTGCGATCAATGCAAAGATGTACGAGAACCACCCGGTCTCTTTTGGTCTGTATTGCATGATGGGCATTGGAACTCCGCTTCACTTCGCTGCACAAGCGGGTAAGTATGGCCTGGTGCAATACCTTCTGGAAAAAGGTGCAGACCCGACTATCAAGGATGCTCTAGACAAGACTGCGATGGACTGGGCGAGGTTTTCTGGCCACGCGGATGTTATGGGCCTCCTGAAGATTGCCATGGACAAAGACGGTGCGACTGCTGAGGCACGGGATGTGTGAGATCTTCGGCTATGGAGACATGTTCTTGCCTTCATGTACCGTGGGTTCTAGCTATAGGAGTTGATCGAATTGGAATTGCTTTGCAGGCAACTTGCCAAGAGTCCACTTGTTGTTGCACTTTGTGTACTAGCTCTATAGCGGTCCAAGCTCTCAACCACTCTAGATGTATGCCGCAGTCCGCGAGCTGCTTCGGGTGCGCCATGCAGCATGAAACCTGGTCTGAATGCCTAGGTCTAGTAAGACGCTGTATCATATCTCTGGAGAGATACCTTGCCCATGCATGGCAGTGGTCAGATATTAGCTCCCAGCATCATACTAAGCCTGATAAATTACCCATCCAACCTGGGATTATGTCCATGATGAACTTTTGCAGTAACATGGAGAATCTGAGGTATGATTCAGATGGGTGCACATCTCCTTTTGGTCCGCTTTGTCTGACCTGAAGTGCAGCAGAACCAACATCCCGCGTCTACCTCCGGAACCTCGTTTTGCGCTGGAAGATGCGAGTCGTGAAGTGCACCGCTTGACGTTTCGGGAAATACCATCGTGGCCGGTACGTGAGACATCTTACACTGCAAGATAAGGGGCGCTGTTGATCCGACAAACTTATGGTATGGTATCCTTAGGCAATCCATGAATTCCTGCTTAATGTATGGCCAGCATCCACGCCCGGCGCGGGCTCCATAGCGAGGAGGGATTATCTGTTCTGCAATGCGAGCATACAAGAAGAGCTGCTTCCTAGGAGTCCACACCTGAGCCCCCGGCCCCTACAAGAGGTCCTTGAGAAGAGCGTTATATTCCCATTGGGGGAGTCGCCGCTAACAAAATGCCCGAACTGCTCAAGACGCTACCCATCGAAGAACCTCAGATCTCCCGTGTTAAGTTGGTAAGCTCATCTTTCGCCGGACCTTTGCATCCACTCTCTGGATCCGTACCTGACTGTCCCGTACAGCATCAAATGCGGGTTCTGGGTGCACATCCGCGACTCGTATCCCAACGAGCCAGATCCCCTCGCGGCAATCGCGCTCCGAGATATCGCACAAAGCAACCTCGACCTTCACGAGCTCCTACGCCCATTCAAGAAAGTAATCGAGCAGGGTGCCGCGCACAGTAGGACGCTTAGCGGGAAGGACACCGAGCTCCAGGCAGACCAATATCTGCGGCACGAAATCCGCTCCAGCTGGGGCGCCCATCCAGCCTAACTCGCGTCTCGAGTCCAAAACTTCCAACGCGTGACTCTATGCCCGGTGCAATGGCCCAGTGGAACGCAGCTCGCGGCGGTGCTGAAAGCCCACAGGATCCTTGACGCGACCATGGACGGCGTCAAGCACTGCATTGGCTTGATCGGCGCTGGGTCTGGCCTTGCCTTTGATGCCCAGCCGTTGCCAGGATGATTGGCGGCCGGTTTGGGCGCGTATCAAGCACCGAGGACGTTCAGCTCCAGCCTCTCTGGGATATCTACCGTCGGTGAGCCGCGCACCGTGCGAAAGTCGAGGACCAGGTGCGATTCCTGGGCGTCTACGCTCGGTATGCGCAAAAGCTCGCAGGTGACGCGCTCACGGTTCATCACCCCTCGATCGTCAGAGCACGGTGTCTCTTGTGGATCGTGCCCGTTCTGCTCGATTTCGAAGCCAGGGTTCTTGTCGGCTCGTTGCAACCGCTCGCTCGGACATACCACAAGGCCAGCAAAGCGCCGAACCACCCGACGCCTTTCAAGATCTTGAATCCCCTGTGGGTGCCGCATGTGATTATCGGACGGCTGATGTTTGACCTTCTTGACAATGCCAGGGCGCTTGTCTTGCCGGACGAGCCTTTCTATGCCTTTGCGGTTGTCTACCGTGTGCTGGCGGAGTCGGGGGTCTTTGTCTTGCTTTCTTATGGACCAAAGTCTTGATCGGCATCCGCTGGATCTCGCACCGCGGTGTTTCTTCAATGCCTCGATCTTCACCGGTGACGCCGTGTTGCATGGATGGCGGGTTACGTATAGGTCTCAGCTGCAGAGGCTGCTTGAGGTAGGGCAGGGCTTAATGCCGCGAGGGATGGTCGATTAGTGCGCATCTAGACAGGGTGGGATGTAGATCGTCGTGTTTCATTGCAACTGTTTTCATTGTCCTTCCTTGAAAGATGGCTACCTATGAGTAGCTGTTTACAAAGGCTCATGGTCTCCTGTGATCAAGGAATACTACGACGCCTGTGGCTTTAACCCAATATCAAGGCGAGAGGAAGCCTTATGACCACTGTCCAGTATTCTCTAATGGTACCTTCATAACCTACGTGATTCCTCTACAGACATCCGAGAAACTCTCCAATACCCTCAAAGGCTCATTCCCCGCCGGACAGTGACAATTCTGGATTGGGTTCCTTCCATCACTTTGGTTACCTTATGGCACTACCTCCTTCATCTCTGGGCATCCGTTATCGTACATTTATCGCTTCCAACCTTATCGAGGTTCTTCGTGCTGATTGAACCATGGATATCTACTCTTCATAACTTCAAGTCCGGGAAGCACCCCACCACTACTCCGTACCATACCATACCATGGGTATACATTTACACTTCAGGCTCACATCACCCTTGAATCACCGGCCACCAATCATGAGAATTCTCTCAAGCCTCGGAACTTACATCACTCTTGCACCACTTCCAATAACAGCTTGCCTATCCATGGCACGACTCGGGTTGCCATTCATATAGCCAGCCCTTGGCCCGGGTAAAATAAATCCATTATCCTCTCAATCTACACGAGTTCATAGTGCTCGATTATCGATTATCCCCATTCGATCGAAGAACCAAATGTCTGAAAATAGTACGTACAGCCATCGCACATCATATGCAACCATATGTCCTAATACACACCCCAGACCCAGTGCCGTCCCAGACGCTACACCCCCAACAGGGTCAGCAGCCCGCTTTCGGAGCGTACAATCTCTCGGAGCCCGAGGGCGAGGATGCGCCTTCCTCCGGTCAACAAGACCAACTCCCACAGCTGTCTGGACAAGAAGCAGATGTTCCAATGGCGCATGGGGCCAGGAGCGAGAGGTCGTACAGCGGGGTGGGACTTTCGGGGGAATTTGAGGAAGAGGACTTTGGTGACAGTCAGTGGCAGGCTGGGGATATGTAGATGGGTTTTGATGTTGTTAGCTCGATGGCGTATTTCTACCAGAGGTACTGTCTAGGGAACAGTAATGCAGCTGTCTACGTTGCTGGGTAGGTCTTTGCTGGTTAGATACATGGTTCAGGAAGAGTTGTGTATTTTTTTATCTTGCTAGTCCATACCTACTGGGTATATGCCCGTCTTCTCAGTCTGTAAGGGGCTACTTGAAGGCAACTGAGAAGAGAATCCTGAATCCTCGGGTCGTTGGCTTGCAAGCACATCGAGTCGGTCAAGCGATCTGCACGGAGATGGGTGATGTATCATATTCCAAGAACATACTACGTGAGAAAATATCTGTCTACCTACTGCGAAGCAATGTCTGAGACATTGAACAGTGAATTTGCAGATGACCTTTCAGCACGTACTAGCTTAACCCGGTGTGAGTGAAAATGCCGATCGAAACGCTTCCAGGCCACTCCAATGCCAGAGGAGTGCCCGGACTCGACAACGGATTTAGGGGCTTGCTTCATGAAACACAACCTGCAGGTGTACCTGGTAGATCCGCTCCAGCCTCAACGTCTTCGGGCCGAGTGATCGCCAGTGTCAACGGCAACGGCGGGGATGCGTCGCAATGCCTGTGCTGTTGATGTATCACATACTTCTAGGACGGTGGACTCCACTTGCGTGAAGAAATGTCTCAGTAGCAGGACCATATGGTATGAATATGGGATTCAAGGGCATTGCCATGGTTGGACCTGCCTAGGTTTGGCCCTGAGATCATCGATGCCAATGGCTAAGCACGTGCACTCAACAAGCCCTGGCAATTCCGGACAAATTGTGGTCATAGATTAGGTAGTCTCAGCTACCCTAGCAGATAAGATGTAACAGACTATCAACTGCAAAGGCCGCAAGGTTAAGCGAAGCAAACGGGGAAGATCCAAACCGAGTGAGTAAATGATAACACGTCCACCACCCTGGCTAGCCAACTACACCGACTTACTAAGTATAGACGAGAAGCCCAGCCGTGCAAGGTATTTCGAGCATGACTCGTTCAGTTTCCCGCCGTCGACTCAAACTATAATGAAGCTCGGTTAAGCCGAGCGTGCATGTTTGGATTCCCTAGCGATATTCGGCCATCACATGGGGGTAGTGCTCCTTCGGGGGCAGCGGCGCCTGAGTAGGACATTTGGTAACCATCGCCAAGCGGTCTCTGTTTCTTGCTTTGGCGATTCTCGGCTAGGGCTGCTGATATCACTGAATAGTGATCATGATAGGCACCAAGGCAACTCGGAATACCGACACAGCACACTGCTTGTTCATAGGTTATTGATGCGAATGCCCGCATATTAGCTTATCCTCCTCGCTAGTACGTTCAGATCGATTGAGCATGACGGTGCAGTTGCCCGAAGCAGATCGTTACTAAGGCATTTCGTAACTTCTCTATCTCGACCTTGCCTACGCTAGCTGATCCATCATGCTATCGTCGTTAACATGTGGCAACCCAAGGGAACTCGGAGCACCGGCCGCTGTACCTAGTGTATGATAAGGCTGGTCGGGGCACGGGGAGCTTCCGACGCGAAGAGATACGGCAGATAGGCTTAGTATAGGTGCCTTTGGTACTTATGGTGGCCCCGACATTGAGAATCCTGATTTTATTTAAGCTGGCACTGGGACTGGAAGTTGAGCTTGCGCTTCATTTGGCTTGTTGGGACTAGCTAGTGTGCAGCATGGTTCGAGGCTGTCTTACTTGGCTCCTCTGGAATAGCATCCAAGGATAGATTGAACTATAGATGATTAGCTTAGTTGGAGGCTCAAAGTAGATACCCTACTTACGTACAGAGCTACGAGAACTCCGCATCTCGCCCGAGCTGGGCTCGGTTCGGACATACACCCATCGGTTATATCGGGTAGTGACATGGTGTCGGCGAGGCCGGGTTTACGTATTGGAAATAGTTGATCCTGGTATATCGGGGATGGAAATCCTTGTACTATTTTCACACATCATCGAGAGAATACTGTTATGTCATCGCATGTGATTATCAGCCCTGGGCAGAAGCATGGCATGACGAGCTTGGTCTTAGCCGCGTGGGAGTTGGAGGTATATCACGCCCACTAGTATATTCTTTCATGCAGGACAGGCATGCTATTCCCCTTCTGCACAGCCATGGATGGCACAGACCCAAGGACTCCAACTGAGTCTTCTCAGCAACCACCAACATGGCCGGATCTCAGCACTCAGCTCACCACCAGGTTACCAGTCTACGCCCTACAATAACCTTGCCTCCAGCTTGATCCTGCTAACCAACTCCCGACCGACCAAAAATAGCCAATCCCGACCCCGACCCCAGCTAGCAAAGAATACGAGCAAAAGCAAACATACAACAAACATCCCCCGCAATCATCCTCGTCCACGCCGCCTGGCACCCCCGCAAACTACGCCTCCTTCGCCGATGCCCCGCCAAAGGCTTCCCAGTGAATAGTGAACTGCCCGCTGCTGCCGACCTGCGACCGAACCCGCACTCCACCGGCATGTCTAACGGATGACGTCGCCGTCAAGGCCGTCCGTGGCCACGCTCGCAAACAGGGCGAGCGCATCCTCACCTCATCATCCTCATGGTCATACACTCGTACGGCGGGGCGGCTGGGTCGGATGCAGCGAGGGATTATGCCTTTGGATCCCCATCACTGCAGAGAACGGGGATGGAGATGGAGATGGTGGCGCCGCCCCGGCGTCGGCGTCGGCGGCGTAATCCACCTCCTCCACCTCGGTCCTTGCGCCTACATGCTCCCCTCATGCACCGCAACCTGGGACACCGTAGCCGAGGCGGATTGCCAACTGATCTTCGGGGAGTGTGTTGAGACCGACTCGAGAGGGGACATTCCCGCGTGACCCCGCGGGGATGTTCTTCGGTGGGGATGATGCTGGCTAGGCCCGGGGGTGCGAGAAGCGGGTGGAGAATGGAGATTGGGACTATGGAGGTGGATACCGTGTGTGTACGGTACGTGTCATGGTGTTTTTGTGAGCAGGAGAGTGAGATGGTGAGGGTTTGGAGTGGAGGCGGCTGGTTCTGGTCTACATCAGCTTGCCGTAGTCTCCAGAGTCCAGCTAGGGAGAACTGCTATGAATGCTATGAATGCTATGAATGCTATGAATAGCCACGGCTTCTCTCCCAATGATAAGGCCTGAGCTCAAGCGCACTGCAGCATCCTGCGATCGATCGTGGACTGTCTCGATTCGCCAGCAAATCCGATCTCGGGATTGGCAGCGGCTGAACCGATCAGACTGTTAGTGTCCTGCTAGCAGACTCTGCCAGTGACTAGGCCGATCTGAAGCTGAGACACTGACGTCGGCGATAAATGAATACGAGCCATGGCGATGAGGGGCAGCGATCGCAGGAAAGTGCTTACCCACCTGCTGGCTTGAGTCACCGTCGCACTGCTGCGGCAGGCTTGCAGGGCATTTCGTGTCATGCCGTCATGGTGAGAAGTTAGAGCGATGCGGGCGGGCGATGCTCGTGATGCTGTGTGGAATACAGTCAGAATCAGATCAGGAATGGAATCGACGTGTCAGATCGGCCGTAAGAGGTCTCGACCAATCGCCCGGGAACTCCGGAAGAAGTTGGAGATTGGCAAGCTGCAAGGACCGCGCTGTCGGTAATCAGTAGGTTGGCATTGGTGGTTGATTGCCTACTCCAGGGCTGGAAGCTGAGTTGTCAGGTCTGTGCGGCCATGCAGCCTGCTCCTTCAGTCTTGTCAATTCCGAAAGAGTTCGAGTCTACAGGTGAACAAAGAACTGGTCCATGACAAGACAAGTTTTACCATTGCTCCCTATCTCGAACCATCCCCTATCGCTTCCAACCCCCCAGCACAATCCTCAGCCTTCACCTTCCATGTTTACACCTGCCCTCCCATTTTCATTAGGTACCTAGCCTACCCTCAAACCACATCCGTACTCGGCGCAATCGTCCTCAACGTAATCGCCACGTACCCGGAACTGGTATCACTCCAGACCAGATCCCAAACGCCCTCGACCCCCGTCTTCTCCGCGTAAAAGTTCGCGCCGGCCGTCGTGATCAGCACGTAGTTGCCGTAGACGGCGAAGACGCTCGCCGCGTCGGACGACACGGCCTGCGACGTCTTGGGCGCGAAGACGACGTCCCCGACGCCCTTGCCGTCGGAGGGCAGCGTGAGCACGAAGTTGCTGAACGAGGCGCTGTCTTTCTTGGGGTGCGCGATGTACGTGTTTGGGGAGATCGTGGCGACCGTGACTAGGGGTGTTAGAGCTGGTTTGCAAGGTGGTGGGATGGACGCTTACAGTAGACTTCTTCAGTGACCTTTGCGGTGGACTTGGTTGGGTTGCCGATTTGGGCTTTTCCTGCGTGTCACAAAGGTCTCAGTACAGGGCTCCTAAGTAGATATGGGTTTAGGAGTAGGTACCGTCGGCGTAGAAGACCGGCAACCCGCTGATCCCGTCGCCGTAGGCGTACAGACTGAATGTATCGGACGACTGGCGAGCCTCGAGGGGGAAGGCGTTCGTAGCGACAGCGACGCAGGAGAGCGCGAAGAGCAGAAGCGAGCGAGAGAACATTGCGATGGCCTTGGTTGACGGCGAGGATTGGGGTCGGAATCAACGAAGGCCAACAAGTAGACAAGAGCTTATGATGAGAGCGAGCGATGGAAGAAAGATGCAGACTGGAGGCCGTATGGAGGATGCTTGATGCCAGTCCGCAGGTATATGAGGCACTGCCACTCAGGCGCCCGGTCCAGGCAGCAGAACTTGCAAGATAATGATAACATGGGCTGTCAAGACTCCTTCATTTGAGTGCTTCCATGAATAACCCTGTACCCCTGACCGGACAACCCCAGCAAGGGCGATCGCGGTCTGAATCACAACGTAAGCGCTCTCAATACCAGGATTCCGCATCGCAATCCCAACCAAGGTGAGATCGCGACGCACCCCGCGGAACACGAGGTTTGCTTTTTCAGCCCGAGACAGAGCCAATAACGAGCCTGCCTGCAGAGATACCAGACCTCGATGAGACATACCTAGACGCCAGCCCTAATCGGACCGTGATAAACCATGGACCCTGCAAGGCTTGTACGACGAGCTGACATTCGGCGCCAATTTACCCTTAGCCTTGGAAGCTGAAGTCAGACTGGACTCGGGCATAGGGTTCGGGTCCAGCCAGCCAGCCAGCAAAGTTAGCCCAGCGAAAGCACCAACGTAACCAACGTAGAAGTGAGACACGCAGCGCATGGCAGGAGCAGGAGCAGGCTGCATTAGTTCGCGCTCCCACCGCGGTTCAGCATCCTCGAAGTTTACGGCGTAGTACAATAAGGTTAGGTATTTGGGGATCTAACTTCAGCCCCATGGCCTCGCAAAGGATCAATGAACGGGGCTGTAATTGGACCGGCCATACCTAATCTGTCGCTTATCGACACCCATGTCCATGCCATGCAAGCCATGCCATCCATGCCATGTCATGCCATGCTGGGGCCAAGGCGAACAGGGCTGATCCTGGAGCTGATAGCCGGCTGATCCTGGCTGGGCTTCACGGTCGGAGTTAAACGTGCATGATGCTATATCGGGTGCCCGGGGGCCCGGGCTGTGGAATGTGTTCGCTGGTTGGTCGATGCGGCTCTGGATATGGAGATTGGCAGGGACAGCCCTGGAGTCGGTGAGTATTGGTGCTGGGTGCATGTGCGGAGGTGGGCCCCCCTCCCTGTATGCATTGTACTGAATGAGGCCGGTTGATGACGGCGTTGAGCATGTCGCGCTGGTCGCGTGTCTCACACGACCTGCTGGACGGGATGCTGGACGCCGGATGATGCCGGGCACCTACCGCTACAATGGGCGCAAGTGGGCGGCCGCAGTGGTTGCTGGAAATGGATTATCTTGGAAATGCTATCTGGTCATGGAGGCTGAGGTATAAGGTTGCCGCTGACCACCTGCAGTGCGTTTCTTCAGATAATCTTCTACTTCATGACTTTGACTTTGTTGTAGGCTTGCCTCGTGTCCACTCGCTACCCGATGCGTTCTTTTCTTCTTCTAGTACTTGCCCTTTGTGCCTCTGCGTCTTGGGTCTTTGAGCATGACTTTCAGGCGGAGGAACGCTCGTTACTCTTTGGGACTGATGTCTCGCCACTGAAACGGAGACAGGAGGAGGGCACCGCCTCTGACTCTGACTCCGATGTCTCCATTGCTGGTGGTGGGCGTCCCCGACCAACGTCTACGTCTACAAGGACAACATCCACAAGGACCAGGACAAGAACCAGGTCTACATCCACAAGCACAAGCACAAGAACCAGGTCTACATCCACCCGCACAACCACAACCTCAACCTCAACCACATCTCCACCCCCCTCAACCGGCACCCCCTGCGCAGGCAACACCCCCGACACCCGCAGCGAATGGTGCGACCACTCCATCGACACAAACTGGGCCGAAATCACCCCGGACACCGGCGTGACGCGCGAATACTGGCTAACCCTGGACGAGATGACCGCAGCGCCAGACGGGATCTCGCGCCCCGTCGTCGCAGTCAACGGCACAATCCCCGGGCCCACGATCACCGCCGACTGGGGCGACGAGCTGATAATCCACATCAAGAACAACCTGCACGAAACGCTCAACGGGAGCACCATCCACTGGCACGGGCTCTGGCAGCGCGGGACCAACGAGCACGACGGCGTGGTGTCCATCACGCAGTGCCCCATCACGCCCGGGCACGAGTACACATACCGCTTCCGCGCGCAGCAGTACGGGACGACCTGGTACCACTCGCACATCAGCCTGCAGGCGTGGGACGGGATCATCGGGCCCATTGTGATTCACGGGCCGGCGACGGCGAACTACGATGTTGATGGCGGCACGGTATTCCTGAATGACTGGACGCACCGGACGATGGAGGAGCTGTTCTGGTATGCGCAGACGGTCGGCCCGCCGTTGCTCAATAACTCGTTGATCAATGGGATGGGCGTTTATGGGTCCGGCGAGAGTCAGACGGGGGAGCGGTTCAGTATGAAGGTTGAGGAGGGGACGTCGTATCGTCTCCGCCTGATTAATGGGGCCATTGACACGGTGTACAAGTTCATGATTGATGAGCATGAGCTGACGGTTATCGCGATGGACCTGGTTCCTGTCAAGCCGTTTAAGGCGACGAGCGTGAGTCTTGCTATGGGTGAGTTTCCGACCTTCCTCTAATCCTTTCATATGGTAATGGTAGACACTAATAAGGACTCCAGGCCAACGCTACGACGTAATCGTAACCGCCAACCGAGACTCCAAAGCCTCGAACTTCTGGCTGCGCACCATCCCCCAACAATCCTGCAGCGACATCGAAGACCCCGGCAACATCGCCGGCATCTTCTACTACGGCGACACCCCAGACACGCCCAAAACACAGCCCTTCTCCTTCGTCGACAGCTGCAACGACGAGCCCATGGCCAGCCTGATCCCGCACGTCCCCATGGACGTCCAACCACCCGACTACTACGACAACACGCTCGCCACAATCGGCTTCAACGAGAAGAACTACTTCCGGTGGCTGCTCAACTCCACCACAATGCAAGTCTACTGGGACGACCCAACCCTCCTGCAAATCCTAAACGGCGAGGACACATTCGCCAACAGCTCAGCGGTGATCTCGCTGCCGCGCGCAAACGAGTGGGTGTATCTGATCGTGAACACGACCCTGCCCGTCTCGCACCCGATCCACCTGCACGGGCACGACTTCGCTATCCTCGCGCAGGGCACGAATCCCTGGGACGGCACGCTGCAGACGTCGAACCCGCCGCGCCGCGATACCGCCATCCTCCCGGGCAACGGGTACCTGGTTATGGCGTGGGAGACGGATAACCCCGGGGCGTGGCTCATGCATTGCCATATTGGGTGGCATACGACGGAGGGGTTTGCGCTGCAGTTTGTGGAGAGGATCGATGAGGTCCGGGACATTGTGGATGGGGGGTTTGTGGGCGATGCGTGTCGGACGTGGGGCGGGTATGATGAGGAGTTTGGGGTTGAGCAGCATGATTCGGGGGTTTGAGTTACTAAACGGGAGGGTGGAAATGAGGTTGCGTGGGGTGGCATATTGTTTGGGATATTTGGCTTGGTATGCTTTGGGTTGGCTTTCGGATGGTTGGGATAATGCTTAATGTATATGGATATGGGTATGGGTTGGACACATCGGTCTGGCTGGAGGTCGCTTTCAACTTCGTCTGGTTCCTCTCCTAACGGCAAACCAATTCCTTAACCGGATATACCGTACGGCTAAACGTACGATAATGTATGTGGTGCAATAAGATCCCTCGCTCTGATTAGGCAGGTTGTACGACGCCGTTTGCGCATCGAGTACCATATCTAGGTACTAAGTTGAGGCAGGGGAGGGTAGGTAGTCCTGACCAAGACAGTATGCCTGCCCACACAGAGACAGATGGTTCCCCCTTCATAGTATTTTCTTTAGCCTTGATGCATTCTGCGCTGTGCAAGATGCTCTTTCCTGATCGCCTTGCGAGGTCGGCGGGGATACCCTGAGTCCCAGCCCAGCCCGGGCCCTGGTACTCTCCTCCGTCTTTCTTACGCAAGGCACCAGGAGATTGTGGAAACCGGCTCTGAAGGGCTGTTTGGCGGAGTATGCCCATCATGTCAAGCTCTAATCATCTATCTATACTCAGTCTTATGGCATTGGCACAGAGGGCATGCGAGCTCAAATCAGATAGAGCTAAGTCGGTGGACTACCAGCCCGAGACTTGAAGAATCTGGAAAGCTAAATACATTGTGGAATACAATAGATTGGCAGAGGACTGGGTAACGTAGTCGACCGCGTATGCTATCTTATGCCAATGGAACAAACGTTAATAGAAGCATAGAGCGTTGATTCAGTCACTTGAATCTAAAAACTACACAGGCAGTAGGAAGGATCAAATATCAAATACACGGTAACGACAGTTTTTGCAAGCACCCGACAACCAACATCCAGAGATGGACCTAGAATCCAGGAGCACCGGTAGGAACACCCGTAGGCGCACCACCGGGAGCTCCAGACTCGCCAGGGCCACCGCCGCCATTCACATTGTCATCGCCGTGACCGGATACCGCCTCGCTGCCACTGTCGGTCCAGACGAAGCTGTACGCAGGCGAGTACTCGGCCGACAGATCAACCGCAACAGTCACCCAGCCCAACAATCCATCCTCCAGCTCATCCCCAAGATAAACATAGTTGAAGACAGGGTCGGAGCTCGTCCCGCTCGTCTCATCGCTAAACACGCGGTCCTCTGCATTCGTCGTAATAGCCACCGAGTTGGAGGCGTACGGCTCCGTGTCCTCAACCGCGTAAATGAGATCCTGGTCCCAGAACAGCTGCCCGATATGCGGGACCGAGCCGCCGGTCAGCGTGTTGTTCGGGAGGAGGGTCGCGTTCAGATGGGCGATGATGTGGTGGTGCGTCGTGCGGCCGGCGTAGTGGCCCGGGAAGAGCGTCCTGAAAGCCACGACGCCCTCGTCGTCTGTCTTGCCGACGCCACGGAGGAAGGTCTTTGTGAGAATGCTCGCGTCGTCGGCGTTGCCGTTGTTCCCCTGCACGCCGGAGTACACGCCCGTTGCGTTGCAGCTCCAGGTGTCGGCGTAGAGATCCACGATCGGCGCGCAGGTCGAGACGTCGACGAACTGGTACTCGAGCACGACGGGGACGCCCGGCTCGTCTTCCAGGATGTCGGTCCGGACCAGCTCGCCGTTTACCCAGAACGGGCCGGTTTCGCCTTCCGGGTTGAGCGTGCAGGTGCTGGCTGCGCTGAAGATCTCGGACTCATCGGTCGACAGCGTGTAGGATGTGTTGGAGAGGTGGGAGGTTGTGAGTACGTCGGAGGTGTCGCGCGCGGTGAGGCGGTGCTTGCGGTAGCTGTTGGCGAGTTGGGCGCGGCGGGAGACGGCGCGTGCGGTCAGGCCCGACTCGTCGAGGGAGCGGGCGCAGGCGTCCAGGCTGCGGCGGAGGTGCGACTTGTAGTTGAGCAGCGAGCGGGTTGCTGGCGTCTCCTCGTGGCCGGGGTGGGAGGCCACCAGGGCTGGGAGGAGAGAGAGCTGGAGGAGGTGCTTGAGGTGCATCTTGCGAGAGAATGAAGGATGAGAAGTCAATTGAGGGATGAGAAATGCTTGCTCAACTCAGATGGCTTGGTCCTGAAGCCATATTTATACCTTTCTTCTACGTCCTTGCTAGCAGAATCCCGGCATGTTTCACGTATACCTCGACTCGCAACACATGGAGCCAACTCAAGCACCCAGAGCCCATCCAGTCGACATTCGCAATTCGATGAAGCATCCGCAACCAGGACGGCAAGGTCCCTGCCTGCCAACACCAGCCGTTGCTTCATGTGCCTGACTTCAACACGCCAAGAGAAGCCAATACGACGCAAGCTTGTCCACCGGGAAGATGCCCAGTCTTTAAGCGTTAGGAAACGTCAGATGATGACGAGTCCTGTCTTCTGCAGCATTGCGGATCTCGCTCCGTTCCTGATTCTCGCGGATAAGGGCAGTGATCGTCGTGGAGTTCCGGCAGGCCTGGGATGGCCAGCCAGTGACGGGGCTTGCTTTAGTCAAGTGGTCAGGCTAGTCCGTGGGATGGAGTCTCTCAGTGTCCGTGTCAGAATCAGCTCTGGCTAGTACTTCGCCCACAATTGCAGTGGGTTGGCCTGGGAATCACCCACAGACGTTTCTCCAAGGAAGGTACACCTGTTGTTCATCACAACGGTGAAGAGCTGTCAGTTAGAGTAAGTATGACTCTTGACAGTGCTGGATCTGCAATGATATTGTCTTTTTAAATGGAAGGCAGGGTATTCTGGCATTGGACATGTCTGATAGCAGCCTTTCCCTCCCCACAACACCCACAATCCCCACAGCCCTAGATTAACAATCATTCAACTATAGACGGCAGAGATAAGATGCATCTAGAACCTAGCAACCAATGATGGCTGCCTTAAACTAAGCTCTACGGCTGCTTAGGGCATGGTATACGTCAGCCCTGCCGGGGTATCTCACTAGACTATCTCCAAGTGGAACGCCCGCTAAAATCAGGGCCGAAAAGATTTAATATCATAGCTACTATATGGGGAGTCAGTGGAAATGGATCCTGGACGGGAGTGAAAGACGTTGTAGGAGTGACAATGTCCCAGAGACCAACGACGTTAAGCAGATGAATGGCTATCCCTCACGTCGAACTTCGAGTAGGTAGGAAAGACGTCTAGGGGCATTTCTATCTGGAACCCCCTGTTCTTGTCCAGTCATTGTCAGCCCGTGTTAAACTGAGATATCCGCTTTACGTACCTACCTAGACCCAGTGTCCCAGAGGTCCACGTTGGCTCGACAAGACCATCTCAAGGACATACACGTGCGACGCATAGAGTACAAGCCGGGGAACTTGCACAATCTTCGAATACTATTAGGATGGGTTTGGGGCCGCTAACCTGCGTGACGGGGTTGAGGAAAGAGATATTATATAGTGAGATGTAATGCCCGCCCAAGTAACCGCCGTAGCCCTAGCCCACTCTGCGTTTGAATTGCCCGACATTCCCATAGACAGTATTTCCAGTATTTGACTCCTCTGCCCACAGGCGGCCATTATTCGGTCCTAGTGGGTATACTGACGCACACTGCATCCAAAAAAAGAGGGTGCGATACTATGCAGAGCTATCTTGTTGATCTCCATGGTGGTGGGTTCAATCAGGCCGCCATATATGGATCCTTGCATAGACAGCGGCCTCAAATGAGAATAAGAGAAAAATCCCATGTATTGGACGAGTTTTGGGCTCCTGCAGGTATAACGAAGCCGTGGGTGGCAGGCGAAAACTATTCATGCCCGTCTACTGGCCTAAGCAATATAGGACTATCTCCATGCGTATCTAAGTGTCCACTGAGAAGCAGATGCAACCAAACGCCAGCGCCAACTTGGATTAGCTATAAAAAGCAAAACCCAGTCTACCAATTGAAAAGGAAAAACCGACCAAGGCCACCCCAGTCCGTATCTAGGATACCCTACTTACGCTTACTTCCCACCCCCACCCCTTTCGTGAATCCTCGCCCTCTCATCCTCCATCTCCTCAACCCCAACAACCCTGCTCCTCTCCGTCCTCTCCGCAAGAAGCCTCGGACCCTCCGCAACCCGCGTCCTCTCAAGCGCCGCGCCCTCCCCCACAGCCGCAGGGCTCAGAAGTTCTGCGCAGACTGCGAAGGGGAGCACCGGCGTCTGGGCCGGCAGGAAGCGGCTTCGTTTGGCGTAGTGGTGAATACGGGACGAAGTGGAAACAATGGTGGGTTGGGGAATCTGTAGGAGAGATTGACGATATGTATGTAATATGTAGATTCCGACATGAGGATCTGAAGCGTGCAGTTGAGCTGATAAGGAGATGAAGAGGGAAGGGCCGCGCACGAGGGAGGGTTCAGGCAGTGAGGACTTTTCAGCGCCAACTGCTACGGCCGGCCTCCTTGGCCTGGAGTGAGGGTCCCGCGTGTGGTATAGGGCGGCTGTCTTGAGATCGCTATTGACCCGTGGCGTAGGCTCATAGCGCTTTACAACCCACAGGATATAGATGCAAAGTACCAAGGTACAGTCCGGGTAAATGGTATGCCCTCTTCACTTTCGAACCAAGTACCTACCATCCATAGGTAGGTACTCGATGCCAGTACTATAGAAGGTTTTATGGGCAAGAGATGTATGTCGGGGCCCAGGTGCCACGGGTTACTCTTGCCTAGAATATATTGGATAGTCAGGGCAATCAACAGGCCGAGCTCAAACTCAACGAGAACAGGGCATATATAGGGGCAATCCTAGCCTTTCGCATTGAAACTAGGGGCCCTGGATCTAGAGCCCCAGGTATCGACTATCTAAAATCAGACATAACATGGTACTAGATATGAAAATGGGATATGAAAACATGTTAAACAACCATCGGCAGTACTACTCCTCATCTCCCACGAGTCAATATTCAAAATTGCCGTGGCAGCTTCCCCTCCATCCCCAACACCTCCAGAATCCCATCAACAATGCAACAGACCTTGCCAACCCGCCTCGCAATAACCTCCAGGCTCCCAGCCAACACACTCACAGCACGCACCTTGCCCACCTGCTTCCTCTCAACCGTCGCGAGATCAATGCCTAAGCCCGTTAGCTTCCTTATCTTCCTCGTTTTAAATTGGATGCTGCATACTCTCCTCCAACGTCCTATGCAACGCCTCCAAGCTATCCACGAGCTTTCCTCTCACCGAAGACCCCTGCAACTCGACATCAAACGACGACTTCTCCGCGCCCTCTTCAATGCCCAGCTCGTTGTACCGGAACTTGAAGTCGACGAAGGCTTCGGTGAGGGCGTGCCCGTGCGCGCTCTGGTACAGCGTCGAGTGGTTGAGTTCGAGGAGTTCTTGCAGGAGGCGTAGGGCCTCGTAGCACTCGTGGCTGTAGTAGAAGATGGGCGAGGGGTGGGCGGACTCCATTTTTGGTTGTGGTGTTGGTTTGAGATTTGGTGTTTAGCTGCGATATGTCGAGATGGTTCGCTGCCTGACGGGCCTGGCCATGCTGCAGCATTCAACGGTTATATGAGTGTTATGTACAGCAGGTTTGCTGTTCTTTGATGGTAGCAGAGGAGGCGTTTGGTTCATGTTCTTTATACCTTCTCATCTCGTCCCTGGAAACGTGAGGTGTCTTTGTATCCGGCACATTAAGTAACAAGCATGGAGACGTGGACGCCTGAACCTTTGTTTTATGTGGACTCTATATTTGATGCATTCTTTGATCTCTCCTGAAGGGCACTTTCATCGATTCCGTTCCCTGGCCTGGCACAGGCTCTTCGAATTCGCCAGCTGGGTCTTTGACAAAGCCGCTAACTATTAATGTATCTTCCATTGCTTTCAGGGTACGGAATGGAGAGCTCGACGCAACGATAGGACCATATATGTGTGTTTTGTATTGAACTCTTTTCGTTCACTTATCGGGGTTCTTTCGGACTTCGTCGTAGAGGCAACAACCCCAGCCGAGTGGAAGCGCTTAGATTAGGTTAGGAAAGGTCCCAATATCACTCGGATGACCGCATTCCCACCGGTTCATGGCCGGTGACCGTAGATTGACGTCCCCGATCGAACAGCCCGATCTGCGGTCGTGACGTCAGCCCTAACTCACCCATAAAACCACGCAACCACCACAGGCCCTTACCACAGGACCTAGTACTTCTTACCACAGGACCTACCTAGGTATACTATACATGCACAGGATCCGACTACCCCGACAAACCATCCGCTACCTGATCCTCCCCCGGCGCAATCTCCAAGTGACACGCAGCGCAATGGTCAAAGACACAAGCACCGTCATCGAGTCCGCCCCCCACCCTCAAAAGAACGAAGCAATCACTAACAAGCACCCAGCGAATTCAACTCCCTCGTCAACATGTCCGCCAACGAACTCCGTTCCTGGCTGAAAGAAGAGACCTCGCAGTCCTCAGGCTGGAAGAACGAGTCTGGCGATGGCGAGACGGTCGGGCATGAGAGGTGCCTCCTACCCCTTCCACCATACCATACGAGAAAGTGTTAACGAGTCCGAGTCCAGCGGCCGCAAAATCGTCTCGATCCTCGAGCATAACCCGTCCAAGGACGTCGATGGGTACTCGGACGAAGATGTCGAGCATATGCGCCGGGTTGTCTCGTACTGCAAGAGGCATCTGGCGCAGGAGGAGAAGGCGAAGACCGATACGGGGAGCAGGAGTTATCGCAGTTTGAAGAATTGGGGGCATGATGCGTTGAAGGAGTGATATCTGTGCTTAGGGGGGCTAGATCTGTTATCTGATATGTAGGTGATATTAGCACTAGATACGGTTTATGGTATCAACCCTAATGGAATGGACGCCCCCTCTCCTCACTCCAGCGGAAGTCCGTCTTGACTTTGATCCCCTTACCATCTGCAGGTATCCTCGTCCTGCTCTCCGCCACTGTGCCATCCCCATCCCCATCCCCATCCCCATCCCCATCACCAGTCCAAGAACCCCCATTCCCCCGCGTCTCGCTGTCGCGCTCACTCCCGCTCAGCGCCTCCAGCTCAATCGTCGTCGTACTCGTAAGCAGCACCTCGTCGCCCTCAGGACCCGGTCTGAACCGGCGCGCCCGCGGCCCCAAGCCACCGCGGTCATGTTCATCGTCGAGGACCGTCACGGTGCCGGTGCGCGTGCGCGTGCGCGAGCGCCTCTTCCCCTGCAGCTGGCGGTGACGGTGAGTGCCGCGCGCAGCAGGCGACGACGACGAGTCCGCCCCTGTCAACCCAGGCCCAGGCCCAGGCCCAGACGCACTCGCACTCGCACTCGCAGGGCCAGACGTAAGCGACGAGAACAGGCCGCGGACCTTGAGGTCCAGGGCCTGCAGGGTGCGGCGCAGGAGCGGGTGCAGCGTCGGCAGGCAGGCGCAGATGATGCCGACGCAGGGCTGCGCGACGGACCAGACGAAGACGGAGCCCATCAGCCAGGTTTCGTCGCGGTTGGTTTCGAGCGCGATGATGTAGTACAGGCGCATGGCGGAGGCGATGCACACACTGCCATACCACCGGACTGGTTAGATTGGTATGGTGAGGTGGGTAGGGGGGAGAACGCACAACGCTCCCACTAGGAAGATGCCTAGCACGAGGACCTTCTGCGCGGTGCGCATCTGGAGACGAAGGACTGGCGGGATTGGGACCGAGAGGATCAGCACGTCGGTCAGCATATTTGTTGCCTCCGATGCGAGTTGCAGGGCGTCCATGGCGCAGGCGCAGCGGCCTGTTGTTGGGTCTTGGAAGGCGGTCCAGAAGAAGGAGGGGGGCTGGCAGCAGGAGATGTACGCGACGGTGCAGCCGATGTAGTGGGCGAGGGTGAGGAAGGCGCAGAGGTACAGGGTCCGCGGGACGGCGGCGGCGAAGATGCGGCGGTAGAAGGCGAGGATGGAGAATTTTATCGGCGGCATGGAGAGGAGGTAGACGAGGCCGTAGGAGTAGAGGAGCTGACGCAGGGAATGGTTAGTCGGTGCCTTTCAGCAAGTTAGGGCTAAGAGACGGACCTGGCGCATGGGGACGAGGTTTTCCTCCGCAACGGCCCAGACGTGTGTGCCCAGACCGTATTTGGCTCCTTCACTCAGGGCCGTTAGATTGAATTCTCCATTCGCCATAGCTGGTACCTTGGTAGGAAGGGGAACGAACCGATGATCGTGCAGGCAAGGCTCCCATACGCCGGCACCAACGATACGACAATCAGCCAGTCGTCTGGTCCACATGGCAACTTCTGGATCTTGACCCTGGTGTACATACGCAGGGCTACTATCAAAGTCGCCGCGACCGTTAATGTACTCGCGACCCCGTTGTTCCTGGCCACATTGCTGTCGGAGAGGTCGAGATCCGGCGGTGGATCGCCAAAGATGCTCTCAACGGGACGTGTGAGATTCATGGGCGTAAACTAGACGGGTTTGGCAAGGAAAGGGGGATGAGAGCATGAAAGGTACACAAGCATCCCGATCAACGAAGAAAGAGACGGTTTATCAATCACCATAGTAGACAATTGCATCGTACCATCCTCGTCTCCAAAGTGATCAATCCATCTCCCTCCCCCTGATCCATATCTCTGCTTTGGCCTCTGACGTTGTTATATATATGAGGTAAGGGGCTGCGGCTCGAGCACGCTTATCAGAGTTCAACGGTCTCCTTGTTTAATATGTCGAACAAAGAACCGGATGGTGACGCGAGGCTGCAGGATGCGCTAGACCGCGACGTTATTGGGACCTAGAAGCTTCGGGCGAGAACAGGGCATGCGTGGCGTTGGCCGGACAGATAGGCGCTGCCTTGGCCTCTTCGGGCTTTGGAGGGTCCAGCTGGGATGGTAATCATGGTATAGGCAGGTTGGCTGGAGATTTCGGGCTCCAGGGTCTCTGCCGCGCGTCCGTAACCGGCGCGTGTTCTTTCTTGTTCGGCTCAGGCCCGCCTGCCTCCTCTCTACCTCTATTCCAGTGGTATCCAACGCTCCGAAGATGCGATCGTCGCCGGCTCAGCCGTTGCCCCAGTCTTCGTCCTGGCCTCTGGCTCCAGCGGCGCCGACCCAGAGCCAGAACTAGACCCGGACCTCGGCCTCAAGGCAAACGACGCGAGCAGGCTCCTGATTGTGGTATTCAGGACCTGCAGAGTCCAATGCAGCAGCGGCCTCAGCGTCGGGAGACAGGCGCACACAACGGCCAGGCAGATCTCCGCGATGGTCCAGATGATGTTCGTGCTCGCGTACCAGGTGACGTTGGTGCTCGTGTACCAGGTGACGTTGTGGATGCCGTGGCTGAAGGGGAGGAGGTAGTACAGGCGGAGGAAGGAGGCGACGCAGACGCTGCGGGTGTCAACATCCGCTGTTAGTCTTGCAAGTTGTTAAGGCGGATGAGAGAATGTGGAGGACGCACAAAGAGCCCAGGAAGAAGACACCCAGCACCAGGACCTTCTGCGGCGTGCGCATGTGCAGCTTCAGGACAGGGCGCACGGGGACAAGCAGGATGACCACGTCGATGGCGGTGTTGATTGCGGCGGAGGCGATGGCGAAGGCGTAGGTGTTGATAACGCAGTTGCCGGGGAGTTGCGGGTAAACGGACTGGTCCCAGTGGCGGGAGATGGGGCGGCAGTTGGCGAGCCAGGTGGTTGTGGCGGCGATGTAGAAGCCGATTGTCAGGAAGACGCAGACGTACAGGGGCTTGATCATGGTGAAGATGCGGCGGTAGAGCGCGATGACGGCCAGCTTGACGACGAGGAGGGCGACGAAGTAGACCAGGCCGCTGGCGAAGGCCGCCTGGGGAGGTTAGCTGCAAGACAGAGCACTTAGGGCTTGATGCTGGGGTGGCGGACCTTGAAGTAGTGGATGAGCTGCTCGTCCGACGGCGCCCAGATGTGTCTTCCCAGGCCGTTCTGCGTGACTGTTGCCGTATCAGCTTCGTAGATCGAGTGATGATCTTTCCAGATCGAGTGATGAGCCTGCTAGGGACATACGGTAGTATACAACGACAAAATACCCCCACAGCGGCACCAGGGACGCAACGCAGATCCAGTCATCAGCCTGCAGGGGGATCCTCTGCACCTTGGTCCGTGAGAGCAGACGCAGGGCCACGAAGATCGTGGCTATCGGCATCAGCGTACCCGCTGCGGCGAGGACGCCCTCCGCGCGGCTCTCAGAGAGATCAATGTCCGGCGGTGGAGGGCCGAAGAGGTTCTGTGGGGTGGCTCTGGGGGTGGCCATGTTGCCGTCAAGCAGAAACTGCAGTCGCAATACAGAGAATGCGAGGAATCGTTGAAAGAACATCCATTGTTACAAGGTCACGTCCCGCCCTCCTCCCCAAATAACCGCTCCTCCACCTTCTCCCATCCATGATCCACCGCCTGTCGCTGGGCTGCGGCTGTAGAGACTTTATCAGCGGTGGTGGCTGCTGCTCGAGCGCGCGGTTAGAGTTCAACGGGCGTCTTCAGCTTCATCTGTGGACAAAGGGCAGTTGCTGTCCCCGCGGTTGCGGGATGCGCTAGGAAGAACAGTCCGCGGGTCAGAGCTGGAGCTTACGGATAATAGATCCAGTTGGACTCGGGGACTCGGGGAGCTGAGCTGGCATGTGCCGGGACGAACTGGTACTGGAGCTTCTGCTGGGACTGGATTCCGAGCTTCTAAGCCACATGGCCTGGGATGGATGCGTCGCGACCGTGGCTCATGGGGCTGGCTTAGGGCTCGTCCAACCAGATCGCGACCCCGTCCACGGTCGATGGCCCGAGCTGGAGCTGGAGAGCTGGAGAGGTCAAGGGATTAGACTCTCTTTCAAGATTGTTGAGGCTGCAGTCTAGATCTTCATCCCGTTAGAAATATGGGGGAGGAGGCAATGGTACATCCATTCTATCAGCTCATTGCCGATTAAGTTCACTGTAGTTATTGGATGCTGTATGTTCACATGGCCCGAGGTCTAGAGTCTATCTGATCTATCTATGCTCCTCCCTCCACTGGAAGTCCGTCTGCACTTGGATCTCCAGCTCCCCCTCCTTGGTGGCACTGGCGCTTCCAGCAGTACCGCAGGAACCAGGACCGGCATGTCCCCTCTGATGCCCCTGCATGTGCTCAAGCTCTCCCTCGCCGGCTCGCCGCAAGCCATCCATCTCAACCGTCGCCGCCGTCCTTAACAGCGTCTCATCCCCCCGATACCGCCTGCCATCGCCCGTTCTCCCCTTCTGAGTCCTCCTTCCATACAGCCGGGTCCTATCCCCAGTCTCACCGCGAGTCGGAGTCGGAGTCGGAATCGGCGAAGAACCCGAGCCCCCGGCCCCTGCACTCATGAGCCCGATGCGCTGCAACCCCCGACGGACCAGCGGGTTCAGTGCCGGGAGGCAGGCGCATACGATCCCGATGCAGGGCTCCACGGCCGTCCAGACGTACGCATCGCCGAGGAGCCACGTCCAGTCGCGGTTGTGGCCCAGGCGCACCATGTACCACATGCGGATTGCGGAGGCGACGCAGACGCTGACGGGCGGACGGTGTTAGTTCAGCTCAAGCATGCTACATCGGAAGCCAACGGGGTGGAGATCTCGTGCATAGAGGTGAGTTGGACTGAAGGGGAGAAATGTAGACATGGACATACAAAGACCCCAGCAAGAACACGCCCACCACAAGGCCCTTCTGCAGCGGTCTCATCTGCAGCCGCCAGACCAGCGGGACAGGCAAGGCGAGGATCAACAGGTCCGTCCCGATGTTAATGCACGCGGTGACGAGCTGGAATAGATTCATGTCGATGACGCAGGAGCCGCCCTGGGGCTCGACCCATTGCCGCCAGACGTGTGAAGGCGGGCGGCAGGCGCAGAGGGAAGTAATGATGCAGGCGACGGATTGGCCGATTGTGAGGAAGATGCACAGGTAGAGGGCGCGGGGGATCCAGAAGGCAAAGAGGCGGCGGTAGAAGAGGAGGATTGATAGTTTGATGAGCGGGAGGGTGAGGAAGTAGACCAGGATATAGATGAAGCCGATCTTGTAGAGGTCATGGTTAGCTTAGGCCAAAGGTACCATAGGGCTGGGTTGGCTAGAGGAGAGGAGATAGGATGGATGAGTCTACCTGGTTGATGTGGATGTAGTCCTCGATCGAGGCCGCCCAGACATGCCTTCCCAGTCCACTTCGTCCTGCTTCACATTGTCAGCAGTCAACATGTATTTCCAGTGGCCGACCGTGACAAACCGGCTATGATACACGCAAGACTCGCATACGTCGGCACCAACGACGCAAGAATAAACCAGTCGTCTGCCATCCACGGGACCCGCTGGACTCTGGCGCGTGTAAACAGGCGCAGCGCAACGGCAAGGGATGCTACAAGTGTCAACGAAACAGCGACGGCGTTGTTCCTGGGGATGTGGCTTTCGGACAGGTCCAGGGCTGAGGGCGGAGCGCCGAAGTGGTCTGCCATGGCGCAGGGGCGCACGGAAAGAAAGACCACACTGCGGGAAAAGAACACGAGTGGCGGGCTTTAAGTTTAAGAGACTCCTCTTATCCTTCACCCTCACTCTCTCTCGGACACTCGGGGTTTCAACCTTCGAGGTGATCCATCGCGCGGCGCCCGGTTCTAGTCTGGCTCTGCGCTGTGTGATTGGCATCCTCGCCTTGGCTGAGAACTTAGGCCTCAGTCAGAGTTCGACGGACTGGACATACAAAGAACATGAGGGCGAGGGTGAGATGGCAGGATGCGCCAAGTGGGCAGCTGGCGATCATTCCCTAGAGCTCCTGCCCAGGGCGCCCCAGGCACAATGGAATGATCGGTCTAGAACAGTTGCACACCTGCAGGATGGGTGCGGCGTGGCAGGCATTCTTGTACGGCTGTATTCTTGTACATACTGATTGATTTTTGCTCTTCCTCATAGTCCCAGAAAGTAGAAAGGTCTATCACTGCTGCAGGTCGCTCCACTGAAAGTCCTTCTTGACCTGGATGCCTACATCAGCAGCGTCCGCGTTAGTACCGGTCGATTCCCTCCAGCTGCCACTGGGCCCTTCGCCCAAGTCGTCCATCTCAATTGTCACCCTCGTCGTCGTTGTCAACAACTCCTCATCGTCCGGTCGGAACCACCTCTCCCGACCATCGCCATCAAGAACTTTAACCAGGCTGTGACTCTTACCCTGGCTCTGCCGCATAATCGCTGGGCTCGACGTGTCTGATGTCACAGGCGTCTCCGCGCTCCTTCTCCCTTCCGAGTCCCCAGAGCCCCCAGAACGAGGGAGCGAGTGGCTCAAACGCTTCCAGTGCTCATTGAAGTCCTTGAAGGCCTTGAGCACCCGCTGAAGAAGCGGATTCAAGGGCGGGAGGCACGCACAGACAATTCCCACGCACGGCTCAATGGCCGACCACACATAAATATGGCTCTGGGTCCAGGTCAAGTCGCCGACGGTGGTGGGCCCGCTGTCTGGAATGAGATAGGTGATGCGGATGATGCTGGCAACGCATACACTGCTCTGGTTAGCCTACGTCGGCTAAGGGTCGTGAATCCTATAAGGAGACGGGAGGGAAGACACATACAAGCCGCCCAAGAAGAAGACGCCCAGCACAAGGAACTTCTGCGACCTCTGCATATGCAGGCGCCACACGAGCGGAATGGGTATGACGAGGAGCATCACGTCGAGGAAAGCATTGAGCGCAGCGTTTGGGACGGAGAATCTGAAGCCGGAGACGGCGCCAATGCAGCCGGGGGTGAGCACGTAGAGGTCCGATGTGGTTTGTCCTGCGCGCAGGAGGTAGTACCGCAGGAACGGGGATGGCGGACGGATGCAGACAAACTCAACGACGATGCTGGAGATGTAGTAGCAGACGTTCAGAATGAGGCAGAGGTAGAGGATCCAGGTCATGCCGAAGATGCGGCGGTAGAGGAAGATGATGGAGAGCTTGACGAGGAGGATGGTGTGGAAGAAGGCGATGAAGCTGGTGAAGATGATCTTGCGTCCAGGTTAGCGAGGAAGCCAGCAGGTATGCCGTACCTATCCTGCATAGGCACCTAGAGAGGGGAGCATACCGGGTCCATACGCCTCATGTTGGCCAGCGGAATCGTCCAGTCGTGCTTTCCCATCCCGTATGCTCCCACTTCCATGCCAGCCAGCGTTAGTTCTCTCTCCATACATAGGTATCCATGAATTGGACGAGACGCACCGTAGACCATGGAGGCCATGAACACGAATGCCGGGACCAGCGCCGCAACAATCAGCCAGTCATCTGGCCCGAGTGAGACCTTTTTCACCTTGATCCTGGTAAACAGACGCAGCACGACAGCCAGGGTGGCCAACACGGTCAAGGAGATCACCGCAGCATTGTTGCTGGCCGTGCGGCTCTGGGAGAGATCAACGCCCGGGGGCGGGGGGCCGTAAGGAAAGGGATTCGCCATGGATGCTTCAAGGGGACATGGTGACAAGAGAAAAGACAAAGAAGGGAACAGAAGGGTTGAAGGCTGCAGTCACTTTTAAAAAGAGTCCCTACACCACCATCTCCATGATGTGGGCGCCTCGTCCCTGTTCCAGAACGTGACGAGTCAAGGCCGAATCCCCCCAGTCCAACCCCGGCCCATTGAAGAGCTGCGAGCTGCGCGGACATCCTCCTCCACGAGTGGCGAGTGGCTTCTCCCGTGGCGGCCTCGAGGCCTCCTTTTATGGTTTGCCGGCCTGGCGAACAAAGAAGTGGACGGGCTGGGATCCGTCGGACAGGACGGACTTTCCCACGGCTCAGGGGGTGCTGGCGCCCTCTTTTGGCTCGAATACGCGACCCGTGCCTAAGCGCTGGCATTCACGGGCATTCGGCTTGTGCAGGCAAAGCTGGTGCAGGCAAGCTGGTGCTCATCCTGGTGCTCGTAAGTCATAACGGACCTCCTCCTCGCGTCTGCCAGCCAGCTTTCTTTGCTCGCAGATCTCCACGTCCACCTTGTGATGATATCTAGCATGCCAATGATAGACTCAAGGCTCAAATGCACTAGTTTCTCTCCAGACAATGCAGCCCACCTTGTTATCCAGAGCTCCCCCGCAGCGTGGTGAGGGCTACTTGGCCCGGGCTTAGGGCTTGCGTCTCAACCTCGCCGTCCACAACATTGTCATATGCGACCCTTCCCTCAAACCTGGAACTGAATATGGTCCTGGATCCTGAATCCTGGATCTGATAGCCTATAGCGCTAGCCCAGCCTAAACGCCCTAAGTGCACCGGGCCAGGTCCACCTCCGTCGATCGACCACTCGCGACCGGAGCCAATACCCCACGATCAGAGTCAGCCTGAGACGATGGACCATTGGAGACTAGTGGAGAGGGGTGTTTCACTTTCACGACACCATTGCGTCCTAATTTCAACGTCGAGTCCCGCGTGCGATCGCATCGCATCCACCCATTCACCCAAGCTACCCTAAGCAACGAGCACAATGCCCTCGAACGACGACCCGCACGCCTCCAACAGGAGTAGTACTCATGAGACATGCAACGCCAACGACTTCTTAATCGACGACTCCGCCTTCGCCTTCGCCCCGCGCAAACTGCGCGTTGTCTGTGTGGGCGCCGGCTTCTCGGGCCTCACGCTGGCGTACAAGCTCAAGCACGAGCGGCCGCTCGAGAACGTCGATTTCACGATCTACGAGAAGAATCCTGAGGTTGGGGGGACGTGGTACGAGAATGTTTATCCCGGGGTTGGGTGGTGAGTCTCTTTCCTCCGATATAGGTAAGGAATAGGTGTGCTAATCGTGGCAGTGATATACCAATCCGTACGTTGGCATCCGCGCGAGAATGCAATGCTGAATCGCTGGGTTGGATTGTATTGTTAACGTGAGCAGACAGCTACATCTTCTACTTCGCCCCGAACCCGGACTGGTCGCAGTGCTATGCCAAGGGCCCCGAGATCCAGGCGTATATCCTCGACACGGTGGAGAGGTTCGGCCTGCGCGAGAAGATCCAGTTTAGCACGAGGCTCGTCAGCGCGATTTGGAATGAGGATGAGGGGGTTTGGGACTTGAAGGTGCAGAGGGGCAGCGAGGTGTTTGAGGATAAGGCGCATGTGCTCATCAATGCGGGCGGGGTGCTCAAGTACGTCTCTTCATCGGTTGATATCAGTCTGGACGGTGGAATAGCCGTGCTAATGCAGGTGCATATCTAGCAACTGGACCCTCCCCGACATCGAAGGGCTGGACACATTCCAGGGGAAAGTCCTCCACACAGCGAACTGGTGCGTCCACCCCTACCTAGCCCTGGTACCTCTTCACCCTTGCAACCCTAAGTCAGTATAGGGACCCAACCTACAACCCCAGCAACAAACGCATCGCCGTCATCGGCAACGGCTCCTCCGCGCTGCAAGTCATCCCAGCCCTGCAACCCAGCGCCCTAAAGCTCACCAACTACATCCGCCACCCAACCTGGGTCTCGACGAACCTCGCCGGCGACATCACAAAGGACCAGATGGGCACGAACTTCACATACACCGAGGCTGAGAAGGCCCTGTACCGCTCCGACCCGGCCGCCTTCCTGGCGTACCGCAAATACGTCGAGCGCAGCGTCAACAGCGTGTACAAGCTCATGCTCTCGGGGTCGGAGGAGAACAAGTTCCTGTTTAACCTGGTGAACGGGGTCATGCGCGATCGACTATCCAAGAACCCGGCTCTCATCGACAAGCTGATCCCAGACTACGAGATCGGGTGCCGGCGGCTCTCCCCGGGCGACGGGTACCTAGAAGCAATGCAGGAGGCGAACGCATCGTTCTGCTTCGACCCGATCCGCCGCATAAGCCGCACCGGGATCGTCACGGCAACTGAAACCGGCGCCGAATCCCACGAGGAATTCGACCTCATCGTCTGCGCAACAGGCTTCAGCACAACCTTCATCCCGGCGTGGACGTTCATCGGACGGAACGGCCGCCGGCTCGACAAAGAATGGGGGCCCCCCAACACCCCACAGGCATATTTCTCCCTCTGCGCGGGCGGAATGCCCAACTATTTCATGTTCGGGGGGCCAAATTGTCCGTTGGCGCATGGCTCTGTGCCGGCGATGCTAGCGTGGAGTGCGGACTACATGCTGGAGTGGGTGGAGAAGATTAGCAGGGAGGACATCAAGTCTGTTGTTGTGCGGGATGAGAGTGTGCGCGCGTATAACCGGTATGCGGGGGAGGGTCTGAAGCGCTGTGTTTGGTCGCGGGGGTGTCATGCTTGGTATAGCAGGGAGAATGGGGCGGGGAGGGGGAATACGGTGACGGCGTTGTATCCGGGGAGTGCGTTGCAGTATAAGGGTGAGTTTGGATATTGTCTTTTTATTCACTCTTCGTGGTGTGTGCTGATTGATGTAGAGTATATCAAGACCATCCGCGGCGAGCACTTTGAGATCCGGTACAACACGTCCAATCCGTTCCGGTTCCTGGGCAATGGCGAGCTGGAGATGGAGAGGAATGGTGGCGACCTTGCTTACTATTTGCAATGACATTCAGAACCGTCAGAGTATCAAAGCGTATCGATGACGAGCCATGTAGATAAATGGGATGGTATCAATAGCTAACAATCAGAAACGCTCAACCAAAACACATCAGCCTCCAAAAAAGATACGTAAAGACATCACCTCCGATTGGGAAAGGAAACCTCACTGCTCTCCGGCCTCGCCAACGCCCTCCCACAGCGCCGAACCTGCTTATATACCAGCTCCTTGGACAGATACTCGTGCGTCGCATCGGCGACCGTGTCAATCTCCTCGATCGCATCGAGCTCAATCTCCGCAAGCCCATTCGGCACATCAAACCGGAACATCCGGCCGTCGTCATCGAGCTCGCTATGTTCCTGGATGAACTTGTTCGTTTCGACCTCGGGATCGGCAATCCCAGCATCAGCGGTCTTCCCGAACCCCAGCACCGCACTGACCCCGCTTGTCTTCCGAGCTGCCGGTCGCTTGATTGTACGCACGCCCGTGCCAATAGAGACAAGGCACCGGAGTTGTGACTCCAGGGTTGTAAGCCGCCAGACGTTCTTAGCTTCGATCCACACTTCGCGGACGGGGTTGTTTGCTTGGGCGGAGGCGTCGGTGAAGCGGCGTTGCGAGGAGGGGCCCAGGGTGACGGGCTCGAAGAGGGCGGCGTTGGAGAAGGTCGCGAGGCCGGCTTCCCAGATCTTTGTGGTCTTGTAGAGCTCGTTCGGGCAGTACTTGCTGGGGTAGGAGGAGAGGGGGACGATTTTTCCGGTTGACGCGTCGGACACGCAGACGAAGCTGTTCGCACACTCAACATCAATTTTCGCTTCGTTTTATCGAAAACAATAAGAGAAAGAGAACATACACGCGACAACTCAAATCAACATCCTGCAGGAGGATATCGCGATCCTCGTGCCCCAGTTCGCGGAGGATACCCTTCAGCGCGGCCGCCAGTTTCTTGCCATCGTACTTCGCCCTGCGTCTCTTTATCGATATGTGGCTCATCTCGGTCAAGGAGAGGCGCTTCCTGCGAGCGAAAATGTGCCTGCATAGTCGTGGGTAGCCAACAATGCACTGATCAATATCCATCTTCAGTCGACCGAGCATGATCGCAAGCAGCCTATACTGCACGTTAGTCGCGACCGCCGCAGGTCGTAAAAGCGTTGACGCACCCACCGGACCCAGTGCCTCCAATCATATCGAAAAAGTCGCACGGTTTCGGCGGATGCTCGCGGTCGATGGCCTCCATGATGCTCTTGAGGATGAAGAGAGTTGACATGCCGCGCACGCCGCCGCCATCAAGGGAGAGGATGTTGAGTTCGCGCTCTGCCATTGTCTAGGGTCTTAAGAGCGAATTTGCGATCTTGGGGTCATCGCATCGGTGACGGAACTATATAGGAGCGCATCGGAGCTAGAGGGGTGAGGTGGACGAAGATGAGGCTTTGGGGAGCTAAAGCCGTGCATTGCGGTGTGTGACGATGCGCTACACAGCCACGTCGACATCCCCATTCGTGCCTACCCAACCTGCATTAGAACGGCATTCCATCGCTGATTGGTTGGCATGTTCGTGTTAATCGGCCCTTAATAGCGTGAGCCAGAAATAAATTGATTTTATGATCGCTGGCGCAGGATGCATTGCGTGTCCTATGACCGCGATAAGAATGCAGGAGCCTAACCGCCCAAGCATTATAGTGACTCTGCTTGTCTTGCTCCTGCATTCACAGCCTCAAATCCGATGCGGCGATAACTCTGGGCGCTGGTTCTGGTTGGGTTGGCCAGTCTCCGATCGTTGTAGTTCGGCATGGTCGCTCCCCTATGGTATCACCTCCATCGTGCTGCCCATGTCGCGATCCAACTCGCTCGGCCAAGGTATTGATCGCGGTTGGGCTCGGCTCAGGTACGGGCAGCAACTCTGGTCCTAACTCTGGGTTGGACCCTGAGATGGGCTGCTGGGGATCAGGTTGAGGCCCGGGCTCAGGGCCGCTCTCCACAGCGGCAGCACCCCCATCCCCACCAGCTCCCACAGCAAAAACCTCCGCCAGAGCCCTCATCAAGCCCTCCACGTCCCTCTCCCCGTCAGGAGCTTGAACATCGCCACCCAGGATCCCCGCCGCCGTAACCTTGCGTCCATAGAACCGTTTATTCGCCCAACGCCTCTCAACCAGAACCCCAGACTCCAGCGAGACGCCCCCAAAGAGCCCCTTCGTCTTCGCAAAGCTCATCATTTTCCCTCCCCCATTCGTACTCAATCCGCCCGCGATCTCCGCATTCCGACCGAGCGGTCCAAACGCAATACTGAAGTTCCCAGAGACGGTAAGCGATCCGAGCTTGGAGAACGTTTGTATGGATTCGGCGTCATTTAGGATGAAGACGAAGTCGGTCAGCTCGAAGCCTGCTTGGCCGCCGAAGCCCAGGCCGAATGTGCTGATTGCGGACGGGGGTGACCAGCCAGTGCCGGTGCCGGAGTCTTGATTGTCAGGAAGGCGCGCGATGAGGATGCCCGATCCGAAGCGGAGGGAGCCGAGGAGGCCGGCTTTCGTGACGGTGAGGATTGCGAGTCCCTTGGATGGAAAAGCGCGTTAGTTGGAAACGACGAGCGGCTTGGGTGGATTTGACGGGGACAGACCTTCGCGTTTCTCAACGCGCGCTCTGGGAGTTCGCGCCCGGGACTCCCGCGCCACGAGCCATTGATGAAGGAGTCGAGGATTTGCGCCGCTTTTTTGCATTCGCCTGGTCGGGTTGCTGATCAGCTCGATGTAGTCGGCCAGGAGGTGGTAGCACTTACTGCCCAGCGATGCGGGCAGCGGGTTGTGCATGCCTTTTGGCATCGTCACGGTTCTATCTTAGATTCAAGGAGGAATGTGAGCGGTAAGGCATGGTATGGTGGGTGGAGGGTCAACAACTCGGTGTTGAGAATTGGGGAGAGAAAAGGGGCGAGGCTCAAACGAAGAATCGGGACCAGTCTTAGCGCCGTTTGGGTGGTTTTTGCACAACAAGCCAATTGATTGTAAGGTCTGCCTTGTACATGACTGAACGATAAATGATTAATTCAGCAGCCTATGCCTACTCCGTATGCAACAATAACGCCAATGCCCCAATCTGTGTACTCAAACAAACGCCAAATGATAGACCGAAAAATGCTACATCCCAAAAGTCCAGCCTCCGTTTAGGCGCAGACGCTGTCGCTCTGCAACATCCTTCCTGATCTCCTCCTGTGTCAGTCCATCCGGTCCTGCCCAGTTCGCACTGCTGGTTCGTTCACGGAACTTCTTGATCCTCTTATCCGCCTTGAATGTCTCCTCCAGCGAGAAGGGCGCTATTGGACCGAAGATGGAGTCGACCTCCATGCCCTCCTGATCTCGGAGGAGCGTTTCGAGGTGCTTCGGCTGCGCCCAAGTGGGCACGGGAAGCATCTCAGCCTCGGAGTCCTCGTCCTCACTGTCAGTCGCAATTTCAGGAAGGTGAATCTTCTCGCCGTCAGGGTATTTGGGAGATGGCTTCGCTGCCTTGCTAGAGCTGGGACCAGGAGTACGGTGCGATTGGGACGGACCAGCATTGGAAGGTTCCGCGAAGGGGATCTTGCCGCTAGCGTATTTGGACATGTCCATCGGGTGTCCTGGCCTTTGCGGCTGGCCAGTCTTGAAAATTGAGGAGCCCGGCTGGGACGCGCCAGTTCCGTACATGGACGGCTTCTTAGCAGGTTCCTAGAAGAGTCAATACGGACATTTGAGAAAACAATACGAAAGTTGCCTACCTTGCGAATGTTAGACTGTCGGATCGGCGGCGCCATTGCGGGTCGCATCGAGGCACGGTTCTGTTCGTCATCAGTCCTCCTCCGCTTGGTCTCGCCAGACAGCTGCATCGCCCCAGGCTTAGCAGCTGCGGAGCGAGTGTTCTCCTCCTCCATTCCTCTCTTCGGCGGCTTGGCCGGGTTCGGAGCAGGCGGGTTGATTGTGCGCCCAAGTACCGATCCTAGACGGGACGCAGGGCGGGGAGGCTGTGACGCCTGGGGTGCAATCTTCTCAGCATGGGTAGAAGCCTAAATCCGTTAGTAAACATCAAGTGTTACGACAAAGACAACTTACCATCTCAGGCTGCTGGCTGCCTTGCCTCTCAAGTCTTCGTGCGTTTTCCAACCTCCGCTTCTCAATCGCCTGCATCTGAGCGGCCTTTTTGGGATCTTCAATCTGTCGCTCACGGCGCTCAGCTTCAGCCCGACTCTGCTGAGCTGCCCGCTTCCGCTCCATTTCGCGTCGCTGCTCCTCCTTACGCCTCGCTTCACGCTCCTCTTGCTCTCGCTTCCTTTCACTCGCCAACTGGGCTTTACGTTGCGTCTGGCTAGAGGCAGAGCTCTTAAAGCTGCTGTTCGACGCAGCCGTGTGTAGTGACTGGTTGCTGGCCTTCTTCTTCAAGGACGGCACTTTTGAAGCGGACGGAGGAGGCACAGGAATGCTTGACTCAGCGCTCGACGCCATTGAGGAAGCCAGAGGCATATGGCGTGAGAGAGCACTGCCGACGCGGATCGATACGGGTTGAGGTCTTGGCCTCTGTTGGGACTCACGGGTCGTTTTTGTCGGCCGGCGGTCGTTTGGTTTGGCTGCTTGCGGTCCTGAAGGTTGGGGCGCGGCTTTGGGCGCAGCTTCAATAGCCGGTTCATGCTCCCGCGATGTCTTGTGCTGCGGCACCCTCAGAGGGCTGGAGGGGATATTCGGAGCTCGCACTTCCGATTCTGTGCGTGACCTTTCCCTTGTGGCCTTCTGCTGTGAGATCCGTAGCTTCTCCTGTTGTCGTGCCTTTTCGGCCAGCTCCTCCTCCCGCTTGCGCTCTTCAAGTTCCTGCTGTCTGCGCTTCTCCTCACGTTCCGTGGAGCTTCGAGTCCGACGGCCTTCTTGGCGTGGAGGGCTAAAGACGGACAATGGGCGCTGGCTGGTTCGAGCAATATCGGTATTCGCTCGCTGGAGTTGGGTCCTGGGCTCATCTGGTGAGGAAGCCTCGATTTGAGCAGCTGCCGAGACACCAGCAGCGCTTGTGAAGAGACCTTTGGCGGATCTCATGATCGACTGAAGCCTAGACTTGGAGGCACTCAGAGGGCCGTCCTGGCGAGGGGATCCAATCGGCGTTGTTGTCATTTTGGCGTCGATATTTACTGAGGCGCTCTTCGTATGACCGTACCGCTGGGGCGAAAACACCGGGGTGGCAGATTTGCCACGAGCGATCTCCGAGGTTTGTCTGGAGTGGATCTTGGCCAATTCCTGAGTAGCTCTGGTCTTGATGGGAGAAGGTTCCTCAGCGGCGTCGCTTGTCGCAGGGTCGGACGATTTGGGTTTACTGGCGGTCGCTCGAGCTGAAAGGAGCGTCTGGAACGGAGAGCTCATCGGCTTGATCCAGTCGTCCTCGGCGTTCGGTGATTGGGGGGGTGTGGTCTCGCGTGGCTTAGAGCTGGAGGATGCCTGTTTCGCCTCGGGTTGCACTGCAGGTAGCTCAGGGTACGATACTGCTGCCGACGACAAACCTGGAACAGCTGGGATGGACTTGGTCGGTCGCGATGGCTGCATCTTGCCAAGCATGCTGATCTTCTCATGCAGCCTTTGGGTTGATGACTTGTTGTGAAGTTTGCTCGCATTTGCATCCGCATGAGATTCCTCATTCGCTGTTTCTTTGGGCTCGTCGACATCCATCTTCTCGGTTTGGGTCATTCGGTGACCGGTCTGGCGGCCAAGGTAGTTAGATCCCGCAGTCGGCTTGATAGAATCAAGATGGCTGGTCCTAGAAAGCCTTGAGCTTCCCAGTGGCTTGGGTGCAAGAGGCTCCCTTGCAGGAAGGGACGCAAAGCTCAGGCTGCTCTTGCGAATCGGGGGCCGTTCTGGAGAATCCTTCTCCGACGGCGACCCGATGTCGTCCAGATCGTCAATCGCCATTTCATCTTTCTCGGGTTCATAGTCTTGTTTGGGCTTTTCATCTTTTTCGGGAAGGTTGGGTTCTTTAGGAGAAGAAGGTTGAGCAATGGCGGCTTTGGCCGGTGACGACTCTTCGTTTTGCGCGGGGGCATTAGTGTTCTCTGGCGCTGCCTCAACTTCGTGGTCGGCGGCAGGTTCGTCCTCCATAACAACATCTGCTTCTGGCTCAGCCTCCTTGGTTGGTTCGGCGACCGGCGTCTGTTCTTCGCGAGTTTGACTCGGTGAGACGACGTTCACGGGCTCGACGGTCTCACCACGGTGGCGGACTTCTTCGCGGGCTGAGTGGAACGAGGCATCTGTCGTGCGGCGGTCAATAGATGAACGGCGGGGTTCGGGCACTGCAATGGGCTCAAGGTCGAATGATTGTGTGGATTGAGACTCAGGTGCCACCTGAGTAAGAACCACTTCATCATCATCATCCTCCTCTGCCATTCCATGGTATCCAGAGTCTGTGTTGTACTGCGAGAAGGAATTGATGTTTTGCGTCAAATCGGGGTATTCAGGCTGCGACGGGGTTGGCGATTTCTTCTTTGATTGAGCCGACGGCGTCGGCGCCGTGGGAGTGGCAGCTAACGGAGTTGCGGCTGCTGGAGTAGGGACAGCAGGGGATGCGACCGGCGGAGTTGGTGCCGAGGGGGCAGTCATAGCTTTCGTGGGGGAGCGCTGAACGGCGGGACTAGCGGAGTACGTGGGATCGACTCGGTTCTTTTGGACGGAGGAGAAGATCTCGCTCAGAGGCTATCGCGGTCAATCAGAGCCACGAAAACAAAAGGGGGGTTAACAAACCACCCGGTTTTCCGTCGGATCACGTTTTCGCAAGGTCCGAGGGGTCTTGCCTCGTAATTTTCCTGGCGTCTTGAACACATCTGCAAAGTTGCTGTGGGGTGTTAGTGAGGAGAGGATGAGCCGCCAACGGTCGCAACTACGCACAGTTGGTTGTTTGAGAAGACCTCGGCCATGTGCTCGTTCAGCCATTCCATCTCATAACGAACAGGAAACTCGATTTCCTCCATCTCCTGATCTACCAGTTGCGAGCAGTTTTCCTTTTCGGTGGAAATCCAGGCTGCAGAGCCCACCGGCTTCTGCGCCCTCGCGCCCGGTGCAGCCATGACGATGTAAACAAAAGGCAACCGGGGCTGCGGTCGAGTGGAACGGCGTGACTGTCGGAAGATATTTATCTCAGGGTAAGGAATTCCATTTATTAAGTCTGTGATTGGGAATAATTCATCGGAGTTCGGCGCTGGAGCGGTGGTTGGCGGTGGTTGACTCTGAGACAGAGGTTGTCGCTGCTGCGGGCGACGAGCATTCAAAACATCGGCAACGCGTCCCACCACCAGCGCACGTGATTTCTATCGTCACCGAGGTTTCAGGCAGAGATTTCAGGCAGAAACACAGTCCAGGCCATCATCAACCTCGACGCCAGCGTACAACGTTGGCGCTTGGAGAATTACCCCGCGCCTGTATGCGAAAGTTGCAACGAATCGGACATGGCAAACCCTGAGCTTAGAAGCTCTCTGGTGACAGGATACGAATCGAAGGCCGCAGTGAAGGCTCAGTTGAAGATATTGGTGCTCGTAAAATATATAAACGGGACTAAAGGAGAAAAGACTAAATACTTTCGCGCGCAGCGCTTATCGAATCCCAAAATCTATACACATCTATGATTTAGTATGCTACGCTACGGTATAATCAAGGTGTATAGCTTGAATGTCACCATGGAGGCTTGAAATGCTTCTTCTCTCGCACTTGGCATCCCGCATCCCCCCGAGGTCTCGCACTCAAGAACTCGCACGGGATAGGCGCAAATACAGGTGATAAGATAGACTACTCTACTCCGTACAACATAGATTCCATATCACAGTAAAATGCTGCTCATCAGTGCTCTGAATGCTGCGTCTCCTAGAAGCTCTAACAGCGTTGATGAGGTCAATGTGCTATCACATGCCGATTGGTTGGTCTAGGCCACTGACGTGGGAATCAAGTCACAGCGTCGGCCTCCAAAAAAAGAAGGACATCGTCCCATTAACAGAACGCGGTTCGGCTCACCTCGCCCCAACTGCCAAGATTCACCTCGCTCCGCCTGGCGCTTACTAATTGCTTAGTTAACTAAGGTAAACTTAACTTAACTTTTACTTTAAGATTATAAACACTAATACCATTATTTTTAGCTTAACCCCTAATTACTGCCATAATGTCTTGTGTAACCAAGCATGTGTGTATAGTAATTTAAAAACCTATTTAAATTTAATTTATTAATTTTTAGGAGGTGTATAAAGCCTACTTAAAGCATAAAGCTAAATAAAATTTATTAAACTTTAAGACTTTGGTGTGTTATAGCCCAAACTAATTTTTAACTAATTTTTTATAAGCAATTTATATTAATATTAGTTTTTTTTTTATTTAAACTGGCCAGGGCATTATTATTTACATGCTTAAGTATTACTACCGCGTTTTTAAGTACTATTTAGTAAGTTTTTATTTTTATTTTTAATAAACTAGTTTATAACTAGTTTTTTATAGTTTATTGGCAGCCGTAATGCCCTTTATAAGCATTTTTAGTTTATTTACATTAATATTAAGGATTATAATATTAAGAAAGAGTTTAAAGAAGCCCCTAATAATGCTAAAATAAATAAAGTTATTAGTATAAAACTAGTTTTAAACTAGTTTTTAATATTTAATTAATTAACCTTTTATGTTACTTAGTATAAAGCCTAGAAAAAAAAAGTAAAGCTTAAGAAAGTGTTTTAAAAGATTAAAATACCCTTAAAGGGTTATAATAATAAGGTAAGAACTAGTTCTTAACTAGTTATCTTGGACTAACATACTATAAATTAACTTAAGTAAAATTAAATACCATGCTAAAAAAAAGGGATATACCTTGCCCTGTAAGTTTTATAAGGTTACTAAAGTTAAAAAGTATAAGTATTAACCTTAATTATAACTTATTAACTAGTTTTAAACTAATTCTCTCTAGCCTGTCCTAATAAAAATTGCATGTATAATAAAAATATATATAATATTTAGTTTTTATTTAATATTAAGGCCTACTAAAAGCGCCTTTTCCAAGCTAAGATGCTTGCTAAAAGTTTTGCTAAAAAAAAAGAGAATAAAAAGAAAGAGGCTAAAAAGGATAAGGTTAAGGAAGGTAATAAAAATAAGAACTAGTTAAAAACTAGTTTAAAGATAATTCTTTAATAACAAGCATCTTAATTTAGTAATTAGTAATTTAGCAGTTAGCTTAGTATAAATTTAAAGCTATTAACTATAATATATTCTTAAGAGTAGTTTAGAAGTACTTTAAATTAAAACTAACATATATATATATTTATGTACACTAATAACAAAACTAGTTTAGAACTAGTTCCGTCCAATGCCAATATATATATTTTACATATTTTATATATTTTATATATTTTATATATTTTATATATTTTATATATTTTATATATTTTATATATTTTATATATTTTATATATTTTATTTATCTTTTTTATTTTATTTATCTTTTTTCTTTTATTTATTTTATTTATTTTATTTATTTTATTTATNATTTTATTTATTATTTATTTTATTTATTATTTATTTAATACTCTAGTTTAGTACATTAACCTTAGATTTTTATTTATTTTTATTTATTTTTATTTATTTTTATTTATTTTTATTTATTTTTATTTATTTTTATTTATTTTTATTTATTTTTATTTATTTTTATTCATTCTTATTCATTTTTATTTATTTACAATATATATAGTATATTTTATTACACTTTTTATTTTTATATAGTATTTTAATACCTAAATCTACTATTTTATTTTATTTCTTTTATTATACCTATAAAATTACAGGTAGGAAAATACTTATATAAAATACCTAATTAAATATTAGTTAATTTATATTTCAACCCTTAAGTTTAGTATTAATTTTTATTTATTAATATTTTTATAATATTTTATTTAATACTTAGTTATTATACTAAAAACCTTTAAAATATAATCTTTTAATTATAAATTATTATATATTTTTTATACTTTATATTAAGAAAATAGTATTTAAATATCTCTAAAATCTATTTTAAATTTAATAATATTTTATCTTAAAAATAATAAAGTACTTAAGAAATATTTAAAAATAATATTATTATATAAATTTAATATAGTAATAAAAATTATATATTTAGTATTACTTTAGTAAGTTATAAATAGTTTTTTTAAAATAAAATTTATAATATTAATAATAGTTTTTTTAAAATAAAATTTATAATATTAATAATATTTTTTTTAATTTATTTTCAGGAAATATTTAATAAAGCTTATAATATAATATTAATTATTAATAATATTTTTTACAGGCTTATTATTTATATAACATTATATTATAATATATATTATATATAATTATAAAATAAAAAATACTTTAAAATAAAAATAAAAATCAAAGTAAAAATAAAGATTTTATTAAAAATTAAATAAAAATTTAATAAAAATTTAATAAAAATTTAATAAAAATTTAATAAAAATTTAATATAAATAAAGCCTAGCTAGTGTCTTTAACTAATAAAATTATAAAAATATAAAAAAAATATTTTTAATTTTCCTAGCGCTAATTTAAACACCTGGCCTTTAGGTTATTAAACTATAATATTAACCACTAGCTTATAATGCCAACTTGATATTACAAGCCTGTTTTTAGGAAGATATATCACTATTTTAAATAAAAAAAATATATAAAGTTAAAAACAAAACCCTAGTACTATAGGAGACAACTAGTTAGTAACTAATTTTATAAGGCTAACTAGTAACTAGTTATATTTTTTTAAGAACTAGTTTAGACCTAGCTATTATCTTTATTTTAGATTATTAAGCTTTTAAGCCTTTGCCTTAGTAGCTTGCCTTTAAAGCTTTATATATTATTTTTTTATATTTAAGCTCCGCTATTCGGCATTATGGTTTTATAATTATAGGTTATTAGTTACCGTTCGCTGGAGACCTAGAGTTCTAAAACTAGTTAGGAACTAGTTCCTTATATTATATAGTAGTAGCTTATTATAAGCAGGTTTTTTATAACTAGCTTAGCTAATGTTGGCTATTATATAATTAGCATAAAATAAATTAGTTATAAATTATTTCCTATTACCTTAAAGTACGGGATCTAAACTATTAGCTAGCAGGAGTTTAAGATTAGGACTATTAGCTATTAAGTATAAAGCTTTAAGGTGGTATAAATTTTAATAAGCTAGATTTAAAAAAAATTATATTATTATTATAAATAACTTTTTAAGCAAAAAGCGCCTCCCAAGCAGCTACTTGCTTTTACTTTATAAAAAAAGTAAGTAAACTAGTTTTAAACTAGTTTGGGAGTGCTAAAAACTTACTTTTTTTTTTAAAAGCTAGTATAAAAATAAGCCTTTATATTAATAAGTTAATAAAAATAAAAGATATTATAGGCCTGTTATTCTTAATACTAGTTAATATCTTGTTAGTCTAGAATTTAGGAACTATAGTAATATTATTAGTAGTTAAATTTAAGAACTAGTTAGGAACTAGTTTTAAAAAAACTAGTTAGGAACTAGTTCCTTACCTTAAAATTATACCTAGTAAAGAGTTATAAATACCTATCTAGTATAACTTATAATATATTTATTTTATTATATTTATACTTTTTTAAGCCTTATTTTAAAATACACGGGGAATTTTTAAATAAGCTAGCAAGAGCCTAGCTATAATAATAACATGGCCCTTATGCTTAGCCTAGTTTTAAATTATAGGTATTTTATTTTTTATTTTTATCCGCAAAAAATTAGTTCTAAACTAGTTATAATATTAAAAAAATACTTGCTAATTAAAAGCCTTATTATTATATTATAAACCGGGCGCGTCTTAGCTGTAAAAAAACTTTTTATTTAAAACCTAAATAAATAAAAGTAATAATTTTTTTCTTTTTTATTTATACTAGTTAAATCCCTTTTAAATCTTGGAACTAGTTTAAAAATAGTTTTATAAAAATAAATATAATAAATTATTATAATATTTAAAAGCTGCTAGCACCATTCCTAACCCTCTAGGTCTTATAATTAAAAATAGCAACTAAGCCCTAAAATAAAGTAAGAACTAGTTTTAAAAATAAAATAACTAGTTTATAATACATACCCTTAAGTTATTTTGCATATATATTTATTATAATAACTTTTAAACTAGTCTTATGCAAGTAATTAAATAAAAAGCTTAGTTTTTTATATATATTAGCCACAAGCTTAAAAACCTACTTAAAAAGCTTTTAATAAGTTTCCGGTGCCTGTGTATTTATAAAAACATAATAAAAGGTAAAAATTAAAATGTTAGAACTAGTTCTAAACTAGTTAATTAACTTACCTTTGCTATGTTTTTCCAGGAATATTACAAGAATAACTTTATTAAATTTACCCTTTACCTGCTTAAATAACATGTTAATTTTAAAGGATTTAGTAGCTTTAAAAAGCTTAATTTATATATTAAATATATAAATTATTATAAGCTAACCTAGGTCTATATATACCCCATGAATATATTTTTATAATTTTATAGTTAGGAACTAGTTTAGAACTAGTTATAAAGTAGTTTTTTTACCTAAAATTCCTTATTTTATTTATACTTAAACAGCACCCTATTAAAGTCCTATTTTAAAAAATATAATAAAGCTTGTTACTTAGTAATTATTACTATAAGCCTATCCTGCTTTATAAAGCTTATATAAATACTTAAAAAAGTCTAATAATTATACTTTTTATAAAAAGCCTTTAAAGCAGGACTTTATAAAAATATACCTAAAACTAGTTAGTAACTAGTTAGCTTATTTAGGGAACTAGTTACTTACTTGCTATTATATTTAGTTATTTTATATACTTAATTAAAGCAAGTAGCTTAGCTATAATAAGTTATAAAGCCTTTGTTAGGGGTGGTGGCGGATAATTATAATAGCCCCTTAATATAAAAAAAATATAAGGTGTTTTTACTATATTAAGAGGGATAAAGGCATTAAAAATAATATTATAATTTTTTTTTATAAGCTGGCTATAGCCCTGGGAATAGTATTTACCTAAAAAAAAGTTAAAAACTAGTTTCTTAAGGGATAAAACTAGTTTAAAAGAAGTTTTACTTATTATAGTTGCGTTTTATACTTGTTTAATTATTTATACTTTAGTAAGTGGCAAACTCTAAGGTAGTATGGTTTTAAAAAAGGCTTTTAAAAAAAATAGTATTAAAATTAGCCTGCTTATAGGCTAAATTTTTAAAAAAATATACGCTATAAGCAAAAGGTTTATATTATTTATATATAATATAGTACTAGTATTAGCCACTTATATTTTAAAACTAGTTAATAATTAATTTTATCTCTAGCCTTTTATTATAAACTAACCGGGTTCTTAAACCTTTTAAATACTAGTTTATATAATTTAGTATGCTTTTTACAAGCTACTTTATTCCTAAAGCGGCGTATTACTGCATAATAATACCTAAAATTAATTAATTATAAAAAACCTATAGGGAACTAGTCTATAACTAGTTTACAACTAGTTTACTTACTTATAGGTTTTTAAATAATTTGGTAATATTTTTTAATTCTTAATTTTAGATTTTTACTTAGCTATTTTTTTAAATATTTCCGCTGTGCTGTTAAAATAATTAAGCTAAAAAGTATTATTAAAATATTTATAAACTTTAACCCCTATACATGTTTTATATAGCTTTATAACTATATAATTAAAAAGTATATAGTAAACTTTTTAATTTTTAGTATTCCCTTTTTAAGTCCTAGAGTATTAAATCTAAACTAGTTAGTAACTAGTTCTTTTTAAACTAGTTATAAATTAATTATATTACTAAGTTAATTATTATTTATACTTTTTTTGGCTTATAGCTAGGGAGCTTTATAATATATATATATTTATTATTTAATATTATTAAATACTTTAGTAAGTACTTTAAATATTTAACTTCCTGCGCGGAAATTAGTGTAGGCCTTATATATATTAATAATATAGGTATAGGCACTGGTAAGTTATTTTATTTTAGTTAATAACTAATTTATTAATACTAGGAACTAGTTTCTACCAAGTTAGCTATATTTAATATAGTAGTATAATACTAATATATTATATAATTTTTATTTTTATAAAAAAGCTTTTTTACTTTGCTATTTAATAGGGTAGGCTCTTGTGGCCTTAAATTAATAAGTATATTAATATAAATAGTTTACTTAGGTTTAAAGTTATTATTTATCTTAATAAACTAGTTGTAAACTAGTTTAATAAAGATATTATAGGCAGGATAAAAGTAAGGTGGTGTATTAAAGTTTTAAAGCGTTAAAAAAAAAAAAGTTTACGGTAAGCTTTACCCCGCGTTACTAAGCATCTTACAAAGTCACGGGTTCTCTGCGCCAAAGCAAGGTGAATCTCGGCAGTTGGACCAAGGTGAGCCGAACCGTAGTCACTCCCATTAAACTACGGAACGAGGCGATCGCAAGAGATAGATTGATCTTGATTTCCAGCTTCCAGCAGATTCTCAGCAGGCTGCCTCATTGCTTATTCGATTGTGTTCTCATTCGGTGGAACCTGCAGGCTCCGAGCCCAAGGAAGCACAGCACACGACCTCTCGCTTGTCAATTGCATCACTCCGGGCTCTCTCCTCTTCTCTCCTATCTTTTCTTCTTTCCCTGTCCTCGCCCACTTCCCCTCCTCGCTGCATCTCCATTCTTGCTCTTTTCATCGCTGCTATCTCTCTCTCGCCGCTATCTTCTAACGATCTGCTGTTCGATCGTTCATCTCCCTCCACTGCCCTTATCAACCGGAAAAAAAACCTTTGTTTAGATTGGAGCTCCCGCACAGACCCAAACATGGCCGACAACGGTGAAGTCAGGTACCCCGACACAGGTGCCGGTAAGGTGAGTAACATCCTCAGCTCTCAACCAAGGTCGCCCCTTCAAGTCATTGAAGCTGATGTTCTTTTCTGCTCCTAGTAATACCACGGTCCCTACGGATTCCGAGTGCTCTCGCCAAAGGTCACACAAACTGATTGCTTTCGTTTTTAGACATCAAGGAGTCGATCACGAACGGTATTCAACACACATAATGGTTCTAGTAGAGGAATACTGACGCGCTGCTAGGCCCGGTCGCTGAAACCATCAGATCCGAAGCCTCCCGCACTGGTCAAGAAATTCGCGACCTGAAGAGTGCGAAGGTGATTCCTTCGACCACCACGGCCACCGGCCAGCCCCTGACCTGTGCGTGATACAATCAGAATTCAGACCGGCGGAATGGCAACACTGACCGCGAACAGACTACCACTCTCTGCTGTACAGTCTTCTCAGCGTGAGTAATCAGTCCTTAACTGCATCCTCGAGAATCTACTGACCGAGTCTTGCGTATGCCAGTGGGAACAACCTCGTGCCACCGCCGCTTCCTTCGCCAGTGTCGTTGCTTTCATCTTCGCCGCCCGTTACCTCCCTCTTCTGCGCTGGTTCTTCAAGTTCCTCTACTTCGTTCTTGGCAGTAAGCTTGCACCTGGGCTAATAACAATGTGACAACGCTGACGGGGAATAGTTACCGCCGCTGCCGAGATCGGCGGCAGACTCGTCCTGTCTCAGGGCCTCACCAGCTCATTCCGTCCCCGCAAATACTACACTCTCCCCAGGGAAACCATTGAGGCTGTTTTGGAGGACTTCCAGCAGCTTGTGGACTTCCTCTTTATTGAGTTCCAGCGCGTTCTCTTTGCCGAGAATGCCGTCCACACTTCCGCTGTAAGTTCCGTGCTATAGCTTACCCCGACGCAACAACTCGGAGTCTAACCGGGTACTTTCTAGGCCGCTGCTGCCGCGTTCTCCGCCTACTGGTTGATCAAGATCCTTCCCTTCTGGGGTCTGTCCCTTTTGGCCGTCACCATTGCCTACTTTGGACCCTTCATTTACATCAACAACCGTGAGGTGATTGATGCTCAGATTGAGCACGCCCGCCAGATGGTCGGCTCCCAGGCCAATCAACTGAAGGATCTCGCGGAGGAGCGCACTTACCACGCTACGGGTGTCGTAAAGCAGTACGTTGGAGACTACAGCAACAAGGCCCAGGAGTACATTGGCCGTCGCTCCGCTTCCCCGGAGGTTGCCAAAGCCCCCGCCACTGGGCCGGTGGTCAAGAGGGAGCCCGAGCCCGAGGCTGTTGTCAAGACCTCGGATTTTCCCGAAGCCCCCAAAGATGAGCCGGTGGTGCAATCTATCGAGGAGACTCAGCCCGAGAAGCAGCCTCTGCTGGCCGTTTAATGAGTTTCCACTACTCCTGCAGTCCTCAATCTCGCCCGGTTTCACGATTAGCCGGCTGTAACGAAGGACCGAATCCGGCTGCTTGGCTTTAAAGTCCAGGGAACTCGAGACTTAGTCTTGTGCACCGGAGCAGCCGTAAAACTGCTTTCTTGACGTGCAAAGGGCCTCGGATGGCTTGACCTGTACGATGACGAGATGGTACGAATTTTGAAAGTCTCTTTTAGCCCCTTTCCTTCGTCTTCTGTCGAATGTTTCATCTTCTATTTCCATTTCGACGTGTTTTCCTGTTTCTCTGTTTCTCTCTGTTACTCATTACCTTTCGCAGTTTGCTTTATAGTATAGAGTTATTTAATTCTCGGATGTTGAGCACTTTGCCCCTAGCATACGGAACATTCGCACGGTGTGTAGCAGGGAGTCGACGGCTTGCCCAAAGACCTTGATCCCTGGCCATGGTCTCGAGGACCGAATTGTCCTACGTAGAGGACGTTGCCTCGCTGCGAGTAAGGGCCGTTTCACCGCTGGATTACACAACCGTCGGCGATGACCCACCTCTATCTTGTGCGATGGCTCTAGGTTCAAGCAATGAGGGAGCAAATGATCGAGCACAGGATCCGAGCGCTGGATCGTCGGCCGAATCTGCTTACCCCAGATCGAACCCAGTGGCACATGTGTTCCCGGGATGTTTTATGATACCGTTCCTGTTGAAACAGGGGTTTCCCGGCTGGAAAGTGACCGCGCGATGTCAACGGTCCTGCAATATAGCGACATTGTTTGGCGTGTTTGCAGGCAGGTTGTTGTTCCTGCCAGACATGGCAGACAATCTCTATCTTGCAGACGCGACACCTCAGAGACGTCATCTCCTTGCGTTGAGTGGAGCTGTCTCCCATCGCCCGCACTCCATACTGACCAGCCTTGCGCCCGATTCTGCAAGACTGCAACAGCTGCAACGCCTCTCCACCATGGAGGGTACGGGGCAACTGCGCAATCGATTATTGCAACTCGATGTTTTGCCCTCACGAAAGCTTCGCAAGCCACCGACGTGATGCTGTCCTGTTTCCCTACTTCTAGATCCTTCATCGTGTCTCAAGTGATTTGTCACTTGGTTTGTGGTAGCCGACTATTCACGGTTGGTGTCTCGCGCCCCCTTTACGGCCGCACTTCTCTTTCGGTTCCCTCTTCTCCTTTCTGTTCCCCATTTGAGTTTGTGGGTACCTGGTGCGAGCTCTGCACGAGGCCATCAGCTAGCTCTGTAAGGCATTGTGGAGGCCATGTTGATCCCTCAGGGTAAGCTGCATGGCCAAACGTGTCAGAGAGCCACTGAGGGCACAGGCACTTCAGAACTGAAAGCGCATCAACCTATGAAAGCGGGCTGCTTCTGTATCCCAGGCTCCACTACCCAGGCTACGCTGCAGAGAAGCCTGCGTGGAAGTTTCCCTTTGACTCCATCACCCATTTGAGTCGTCCTATTCTAGACCCACTGTATCTTCATCGACACCGGCTCCAGTAACGGCCGGGCTTGGTCCATGGCGGGCCATCGGAGTTGAGCAACATCCTGACGCGGGTGTGACGCTTGCGCGAGCGAGGCTTGAGCCTACCTATCCTTACGCCGATGTCGCCTGACGATTACAAGGGGAGCTCATGATAGATTCTATGCTCTTTCGGAGGTACAGTCGATGTAACGAACTGTTGGCTGCGTGGCTGAGCGCGTGAACTCCCAACTTGTCTCCTCAAAATCACTCCCAAGCACTGGAACGGTCGACCTCAGCCAGCAACTGAAACCCTGCCAGAGACATGGCGCCTCGTCTCTTCCGGATTTGCCTTTCGATATTTGCCCGGCCAGAGATCCACCCACCCCAAGCCACGCCGCTGTCATACGAAATGCCCATGGCATTTCCCTGCCCTCAGAACTGATCGAGGCGGGCCTGTTGGTTGGTAGCAACCGTAGCTTTTTGTGGTACAAGAAGAAGGCGGCATGCAGCTTTCCGCGGTCTCAGGCCTCTCCCATACCTTTCTCGCTCAACAGCGCCATCAAGGTCCGTTTGCTAATTGGCCGACAGTCCGTGAGGGCTAATCTTCCGGTTGCTCCAGCGGCTCCTCCCAGCTGATGGTCGAGTTCGTTGACAGCACAGGACCATGACCATCGATGCTGATCCCGTCTTCAGGCAATACCTCTCTGTATTCCATGACTCGGAAACGTAACGAACCATGGACATCTATGACAGATGGCGGGTGATGTGCTGCAATACACACGCCTTTTGTCCTATTATTAGCTTTTTCGAAATACGGTTCCTAATTGCGGCCGAACAGCTCACGCCCGCAGACCGCTATCTCCGTTCTGTTTGTAAAGAAGTGAGCATCTGGTTCAGAAGGCTGTGAGCCCGATTTCAGTCTACGGCCAAGTCTGCAGGGCCTCCACATGGTTGCAGGAGTCCCTGGAACGTGATCTACCATGTCATTTCTCGCGAAGCCTGCGTCAGCCTAGTCTTGGGTAGCTGCAGACAGGGAGTGAAACAGCTGAAGCCTCGACAAGTTGCATGCCATGAGCGGCATTTCCGGCTTTCAAGCTAGTGGGAAAGCAGACGTATCTCTGGGGATAGGTTCGTCTAGTGCGGCCGTTGAGTGGGTGCTAAATGGAGAACGTTGCAAAACATGGTACCCAGGTACCCCCTTGGGACCACCTACTATACTCAAACTGGGGTTGAAGTAGGGCAGATCGCCCAGATCCTTTGACCCGTTCCTGACGTGTGCCTCGTGATGCTTTCCTGGGTCTAAGAACCGGTGAGGTTGGTTTCATGCCGAATGCTTCCCTCCATCCAAGACATCCGTCCATTCTGGGTGTCTAGGTTGGGTATTTGACTCAGAGCCTGGGTTCACCGCTGCCTCTCGAAGAGAAGAAATCCACGGCCTGCACATTCATATCCCACTTGGTCAAACAGAGAGGAGGGGAAGCCATCTGGACAGCTACTGATCAGATGCCGTCACTCATCCACTCGTGGAAAGCGTTGCACTCAGCAAACCCGTCGACAATAGGAAGATTGCCTCTCATCTTTGATGTCTCTGCCCTTGCCTCGTCATTCTTTCTCCGTCTCTCGCCAGTTCCATGGTCGCCCAGCAATCTATCGGCTTCAAACACACTCGTGCATTGCCACCAATCCTTCATAGCCGTCTCCTGTCGGCCTCATTCATTGTAACCCACCCTCTTTTGAGACCTCATTAGACCTTCTAGAATCCTTTATCCCCTGTGTCTCAAATCAGACAAGGGCGGTCAAACCGATCAGAGTTTCTGGACCAGCAAGCCAGATAAGACAGGCTTCCGTCTTGACTCCCGACCATTGCGGCCCTCCTCTGGTGCTCTATCATTCGCAGACGCCAACCTCACCGACAGAACCGAAAGACGCCTCCATCTGAGACGGCAGAGAAGCCCTCGTGTATAAGATGGCGTCCATAGAATCTCTTCTCAATCCTCTCCCCAGCCTACCAGTGGCACATCGCTTCCCTCCTCTTCCCACTCCTTCGCCGACGATTTCCACGAGCACCGCCATGCTACGTTCTCCTCGCCAGAAGAAGCCAAAGATGGCCAAAGACGCCCCGATCTTCCAGCGAGGGAAGCCCAGAGGCGAAGTGCGCTACCCTCCTCACGAAGACCCAAGCGGACGATTCGCCCGTTACCATCGTGACTTTCGCATCCACCCGTGCGGGAACATTGCCGACTATCCAAGACACATTCCGTATAACAGCGACAAGAAATCGTTCCAGGATCGGACTGGGCGGGAGAGCTTTGAGGGTAGGCTTACGAGCAAGGTTCTGGGATGCTTCTCGAACGCTGGCTAACTTTCTCCCAGTCTTCCAGTATACTTTTCAGATGCCGGGAGAGGAGAAACAGTGGACGGTGATGTGGGATTACAACATTGGCCTGGTCCGAACGACACATCTGTTCAAATGCAACGACTACTCCAAGGTAACCCCAATCCCTTCATCAGCTGAAGACGCCGTTTGCTGATCAGATCAGACAACCCCAGCGAAGATGCTCAACCAGAACCCAGGACTTCGTGACATCTGCCACAGCATCACAGGAGGCGCCCTCGCGGCACAGGGTAAGAAGCCCACCCCACGCTGTCAACAGTCCTAACTCATCTTCTCCTCATAGGGTACTGGATGCCCTACGAAGCCGCCAAAGCCGTATCAGCAACCTTTTGTTGGAAGATCCGATACGCACTCACCCCCCTCTTCGGCGCCGATTTCCCAGACCTCTGCACCCATCCCGAAGACCGAGCCCGCTTCGGCCGCATGATTATCGATCCCTCCATTGTCCAGATAGCAACCGAGAAAGCAAACTACTACCGCACACTCGAGCTCCGGGGCAACCCCCTCCGAGCCGACTACGTCCTGCGCCCTAGTTCCGCCCCCGGCATGGACAGAGACCTGGAAAGAGACAGGGCAGTCCTGGGCCGCCACATCCTCCCCAAAGCCCACCACCACCATCATCACCGCAGCAACACCTCCACGTCCACTGATACGTCTTTGATGGGATACGGCTCATCGCCCGAGATGGAATACTACAGCAGCGGCACAGAACCATACTGTCTTTCCCCTGTTAGTCCGATCCGGAACTCGTTTACGCCTGTGAACACGCCTCGCAGCACGGATATCTACCCTCCCACCTCCTCCGCGCACTTCCACCCCCCAGAGCACGATGTCATCGCGTCGCTTTCCTCATTGACTGCAAGAGCACGGATCCGGAGACTCCGGGCATCGGAGCGAGCAGGACCTGGCCCAAGACTGATCCCCAGCTCTGTCCCAACCAGCATGGCAATAATGCACGAAGACAGCACCAGCCTCACCCCATTAGCAGAAGGGAGCGACATCGACGCGGATGCCGAGACAGACCCCGACGTAGATGCCGAGCACGATCTTGACCTCGACTACGAAATCGGCTCGTCCGACGAATCCTCCATCTCGTCCACCGTCTCCTCAGGCACGAGCAGCAGCATGAGCTTGAACATCCCACAACCCGGCCCGGCCCACTTGTACCGGGGCGCCGATAATAACGGCTGCCAACCCTACCGCGACACAGACGAGGCGATGGCCGACTACCACGCGCCAAAGCGGATAGCAACAGCAGGAGCAGGGGACCGGAAGCGCGGTCGCGAGAAGAGAGTCCACCACCAACCGCATGGCGGTCTCGCCGTGGAGACTGAGTCCTCGCTTTCCGGTCGGGCGCAGAAGCACGCACCGACCTCATCGGACTCTAGACTCATGTGCGAGATGACCGCCGCCCATGCCCTGATCAGTCTCTTGCACAATGCCACGGGGAGCGATGCCGACTGCGAGCCTAGACGAGGGCCCGCCGTCAAGCATGAATGCGCTGGTGAGAAGAATCGTCTCCTTGGTACTGGTGCCGGTGCCACCCTCAGCACCAACGTGCGCTTCGGGTCTGGACAGAAGAGACGCCGCGCGTCTGCTTGAGCGACGAGTCTACATCTCATATCCTTTCCCACCTACTCAAGTTTACTTTGTCTTATTCTATCCATCACACCATCGCACACCTACCTCGACATCTCTAACCCATCCATTCATTTCTCCCTTCTTTTCCTTTCCTTGATTTACCGTATCCTGCCCATGCTTTCCTTTTTTTCCCTGTTCGATCGCACCTCCCCTCCCTACCCTCACGAGGAAACGAAACAACAATGCTATGCTATAGACTGCGTGGAGTTACATGGTTTAATCTCCTTCCTGTGGATTCTGGTTCGATTTGATTGCTGCCCTTTGCCATTTGTCTTGTCTTGCATTTGCCTTTCTTACTGGGGTGGGAGTTCGTGTTAGTAACTTAGTATTTGCCAATCTGTTTAATACGAATGGATGGCTGGTCTTGGTATCGCGATCGTCCGACGGTCTGCTTTTCATTTTTGCCCTACGTACCTTACAATGTAGTTGGTAGCCATCGTAGGCTGCAGCCAGGAAACGGCTTTCGTGCGACGTTGCACTTACTCCAAATCAGTTGGGCAGGAGGACTCGTCTGCCTGATGTCGTGGAACCTGCGAAGGCACGGAGCTACGTAGCGGAAGATAACCTTCAGCTCAAGGTTCAGAAGAGTCTCTAATGATAAAACAATAAATTCCCTAAACCTGAAATCCCTAACGTACAAGTCGAAAACAGTAACAAGAGAAATGAAACAGAATTAGAAAGGAGAAAAATTCTAAGAACGGTCAACGTTCTAGAGTGAGAAATGTTCTAGGGTGAGAAATGAGAAACGAGAAAACACCCCACCAAACCCCGGAAAGAGGAAGAGTCACAAGACGCGCCTAATCCGACAAATCGAACGAATCGTCTTGGCCGCCCGCTCCATCCTCGCTATCATCATCCTCAATCACGTAGGTCTTCTTGGCGGTTGTGCGTCGCGACGGTCGGCTAGCCGTGCTGCGGGAAGCAACAGGAGCCTCGTCTCGAATGCCAGCCGGGGAGTCAAGGATGTCGTTGGCCATCGCATCGATATCATCATCCGAGTCATCCATGATTGTCTTCTTCTTCTTAGCAGCGGTAGAAGCAGTCTTCGCTTGCTTGGGCATCGCATCCATATCATCCTCGGAATCCTCCAGGATCGTCTTCTTCTTGTTGGCAGCGGTGGAGGCAGTGGAAGCAGCCTTCGCTTGCTTGGAGGCGTAGGCCTTGGCAGCAGGAGAAAGGGTTGTCTGTTTAAGAGAGGAAGAGGAGGAGGCGGCGGTAGTAGCGTCCTTCTTCGGGCGACCGCGACCTTTACCAGCGGCTGGCTTTGGAGCGGCCGCGGCTTTGGTCTTCGGGGCTGCCTTGGCCTTGACGGGTTTGATGGGCTCGTCGTCCTCGTCGTCGTCGTCCAAGTCAATGGTTTCAGACATCTTTGCGTCCTTGGGCTTGACCTGAAGGGAGCGGCGCGGGGAGTTCTGGGGGATGAGCTTGCTGTAGTCAGTTTCGTCCGCGTCAAAGTCGTTGTCAAACTTGGACGTCTTTGTGTTGGTAGGCAGGTCGGTGCTACTACCAGGTCGCGAGAGTTCAGAGAAGAGCTGTCGCGAGTCTGAGGCAGATCCACCGGTCGCACCACCGATACCCTTGACCATCTGGCTCACATCACCAAGCAAGTCGTCGCCATTGTCGCTGTCGGAGTCATCCAATGTGTACTTCTTGGGCGCAGTCTTGCGGCCAGCACGGCTGGCTGGCGCGGGCTTGGCGGCTTCGGCTTTGGCGATCTCCATGAACTCGTCGTCATCAAGAGCGTCGCTATCATCGTCCTTGGGTTTCGGTTTGGCTGTCGCTGCGGTTCGACCCTTCTTCGCCGCTGGCTTTGTCTTGGGCTTGTCATCGTCATCGTCATCTTCTTCCTTCTTCGGCTTCGCTGCCGCCTTGGGAGCGGCGCGACTCTTTTTGGGGGCGACTTCAGCTTCGGAGGCATCCATATTTACATCACCATCCTCGTCCTTGGGCACTGGAGAGACTTTAGAGGGACCTCTGCTCTTCTTCGGCATAACTTCTTCAATACCAAAATCGAAATCTGAATCGCTATCTGAGACTTTGGCGGCCGGTGCGGGTTTTGGTGCTTTCTTGAAGAAGCTCGCCAGTCCACCTTCTGTCTCGGCTTTCTTCGGCGCGGCCTTCTTCTTGGGCTTGGAAACGACAAAGTCGTCATCCGAGTCGTCGTCGGCCGCTTTGCGCTTCTTCCCGCCAACGGCACGGCCCACTGTAGCGAGCTTCGTAGAGACGCGGCGGCCCTTCTTCTTTTGGCCAGTGCGGCGGTCCTCTGCTTCGGCGAGCTGCTTTCGCCACTCCTCGATGAAGTCGTCAAGGTCGCGTAGCCAGATGTCTTCCTTTGACAACTTGATCAACGCGTCAATCTCTTGCTCCTTGTCTCCAATCTGTTTGAGCAGTCTTTCCACTCGCTCCTGAGTCAAGGACCAGATGGCCATTCCCAAAAGATAGTCATAGCCGTGATCTTGCGGGGTCTCGGTGCCTTCGTCGTCGGATGCTTCAACGACCTTTTCGGTTTCACCGGCCTTGGCGGCGTCCGCGACCTTGGGGAAGGACTTGAAGCCCTTGTCCCTCAACTCTTGGACGAGGACGGTCTTCTTCTTCTTGGAGACAATCAATTCACCATCGATGATCATCTGCACAAATCTTGCCTGGTTGGTCAACTTCTCAAGTTGGATCTGGAGTTGCTTAAGTTGGTAGCGCTAGGAGAGATGTTAGCATGATATCTCTGTAAAAGGAAAGGCTGACAGCATGCACTTACTTTACGTTCCGCATAGAACTTGAGGCGAAGGTTGTAAAACTCTCGCAGAATATCCTCGACGCTGTTGTACTTAGTGATACGACCCTCCGGATCGAAGGCAACCAAGTTTGTAGTATTGACCGTTCTGGTGAGCTTGAACTTGTCCTCCAGGAACTCCTGGGTTAGAGGTTCCTTGACGTTCTTCTCATCCAACTGAAGGACCATATGGATGTCGGAGTTGGTGTTGTAATCCTTATAATCCTTGATGAGAGAAGGCGCCTTCTCGGCCTTGATCATGTCCTCAAGCTTATTGATGAAATCCTGAGTCCATGTCCGGACTGGAAGTTCCGTGACTTCCACCTCCTTGTCGGAGATTTGGTTGATGCGACCGCTGAATTTGTACTTGTCCGGGCCAATCTGAGTGACTTCACCTTTGAAACCCTTGAACCACGGCTGCATCGTCTTGATCTCCTCACCCTTGAGCATCCGCTTCAAGTTGTCGACGATGTCCTCTGGATTGTAGTTGGGAATTGAGGTACTCCAACCGGTGCCGATACCGTCGGCACCGTTGACGAGAATCATGGGGACAACGGGAACATAGTATTCGGGTTCCACCGACTTTCCATCATCTTCCAGGTACGTGAGAATGGCGTCGTCATGTTCGTGATAGACTTTGCGGGCGAAAGGGGAAAGTCGAGTATGGATGTAACGGGCGCTAGAGGCATCGGCACCACCCTTCAGACGAGTACCGAAGTTACCGCTGGGTTCGAGGGTATTCAGGTTGTTGGAACCGACAAAGTCTTGCGCCAGACCAATGATAGTCTGATGCATCGAGGCATCACCGTGATGGTACGCAGCCAAACTGAAGACTTGACCAGTAAGGTCAAGCACCTTGACTTCCTTCTTGATGTTGCGCTTGATAACCGTGTACATGACCTTTCGCTGACCAGGTTTCATACCATCAACAACAGAGGGGATAGACCGCATGCAATCGGCGATACTGAACTGGATGAGCTCATTGTTAATGAATTTGTCGAAATGGATCTTGTCCACCGAGTGATCCATGAAGGTGCCTGGCTTGAATGTACGAAGCCAGTCTTTGCGCTGCTCAGCTTTCTTCTTGGAGAAGACAAGGTCAAGCATTTCGGCTTCATGGTCTCGCATGGTATGGAACTCCTTCAAATGTCGATCGAGATCACGGAAGTACTCCTGAGCCTCCTCGGTGCTGCTGGTACCCAAACCCTTGTAGTACTTGTGCTCCCATCCACGCTCACTGGCGTGCTCTTCCTTCCACGCATGGTACTCTTGTAGCGTGAAGAAGGAGTGCTGTTCTCGCGGTTTCTTGATGTCGCCTTTCCAGACCTTGACGATGGGCGTGATGAACTCAATCAAGAACTCGGGAATTCGGAGCAAACTAGGGAATGTAGCTTCGAGAAAGTTGATGAGCAAGCCCTTGATGTGACTGCCATCGTGATCCTGATCCGTCATGATCATCAAATGGCCGTAGCGGAGGCCTTTAGTATCGGTGTATTCTTTCTTGTGCTGCAAGCCCATGAAGCTCTTGATGCCCTGGATTTCTTCGTTCTCGGAAATCTGTTTCCACGAGGCGTCACGCACGTTGAGCAACTTTCCACGAAGCGGGTATACACCGAAGAGATCTGCACCGACCACGCCACGGCCAGCCATAGCAAGACCCTTGGCAGACTCTCCTTCCGTCAAGATGAGGGTACACTTGTAGCCATCCTTGGTACCTGCCTTATTGGCGTCAGTTAATTTCGGGTTGTTCATGCGAGTTCGCCGGCCGCCGTCAGACTTCTTAAGAATCTGGTCTGCCTTTTGATCTGCAAACTTCTTGAGGTTGTCCAGAATACCAGTGTTGAGCACTTTCTTGAAAAAAGCATCGTCAAGAACCGGCTTGCTTTTGAACGAGTTCGGTTTGGATCCCAGCACCTCCTTTGTTTGTGAAGTGAACGACGGGTTGACGATCCTGCAGTTGACAAAAAGGAAGAAGTGATTCCGGATCTGAGCTGTCTTCATGAGTGCGCCTGTCCCTTTCTTGTTCTTTTTGAGATTTTCGGACAGTTTGTTGGCAATCTGGTCCGCGATCAAGTTGACGTGGGTGCCTCCGCCGGATGTGGCGATGGCGTTGACGAACGATACATGCCTGTACGTACCGTCGGACACGGCAAAGCCTATCTCCCACCGAGGATGAGGAGTGCAGGTGATGATGTTGTCGGCTTTGTTGTCGCCACCACCGCGCTCTCGGTGAACGGCTTTCGTGTACAATGCAATGTACTTTTTGAAGTCTCGGCAAGGCACTCGAACTCCGTTCAACTTGACGGCCACGTCGGCGGTAGCAGCCATATCGTAAACTCGCCGCTTGAAAAGAGCTTCGAAATCGTCATCCATACCATCCAGTTGGAACCTAGCCCAGTCGGTCTGCCAGGTAACTTTGGTGTAGCCGGGACCCTTTGCAGCGACAACCTTGGGCGGATGCACTACCTGCATATTATTTTCCCATACTTGCGTGTACCGTTTCCCCTCGTCCGGGTCCACGGTTTCGACAATAAACTTGGTGGAAAAGATGTTACAAATTTTGGCACCAAATCCATTACGACCACCCGTGGTTTTATCCTCGTTATCATCGTAGTTGGAGGATGTCAACAGGTGGCCGAAAATCATCTCGGGGACCCAAATTTTCTGCACAGGGTGGATTTCCACCGGAATACCTTTACCATTGTTCCAGACGCTCATTTCACCGGTCTCCCGATCGTAGGTCACTCGCATTTCGTTCATGGAGTCGTCGTTTTGCCTGTGGTCGGCGGCGTTTACCAGGATTTCATCGAGCATTTTGTAAACAACAGGGATGTGAGTGACTTCGCGAAACTCCATTTCGTCTCTTTCTGTATTGTACACCCACATCTCCTGTGTCGTAGGATGTTCCGAGCCGGCCCAGGTGTCTGGACGGTCATAAATCTGCTGTCGAAGTTCTTTCTAAACACCAGCTGTCAGTACGTAGCTCGTTGCCCCTCCAATGGCCGCCAGTTTCTTACCTGTTCGTATTTCTCACCCCGACTCTTAAGGATCTTGCCTGATTTTCCTGATGGGGTAGCTTCGTTATCAATGTTCGCGAGCGGTTTAGAGCCGCCTTGCTTCGCCTTAGCCGCCGGGGCTTTCATTGGGGGAGTGTGCGAGAGCGCTGCGGAGTCCTCGTCAAGAGGATCATCGTGATCCGACATTTCGTCTTCGCTGTCAGCCTTGGCCTTCTTCTTAGGCTTAGCCGCTGCTTTCTTCGCAGGGGCTCGCTTCACAGGAGCCTTCTTCGGAGATGCCTTCTTCGCGGCCTTCTTTGGCTTCTAGTTCAGCAAGTCGCGATTAGCAGAGGTCATTGCGGAGCGTTGAGGGGGGTGAGCGTACGGGGGCTTCTTCGGGCATGAAGTCGGAGCTGCCGTCGTCGGAGAAGACGGATCCCATGGAGTCTTCGTCGCTCATCGTGGCTTTGAGGGGTATATGTGCAGAATATTCAGGGGAAAATCGAGAAACAGAGGGTGAACCGGAAATCCGGAGGGCAACGAGTGACGGAAAAGAGGGAGCGAAGGAGGGTTAGAGACAAAGACGTCGCCTCCCACGCGAGGTATCCTTTGACAGGAAGCGGGAGAAAGACTGAAAGAGCAGCGCCTCCTCCACGGTGTCGATAATTGTTGTGTTGATGCTTTGTTGGCGACGCGCTGGGTTGAAACTTGCGCCCGGCACGTCTCCGCCAGTGAATCGTTTTGACCGGATCATCGGTTGCCCCGTTCCGCGGCCTGATTGGGAAAACTCATAACACACCAGCCCAAAAGAGAAGCCGCGATCAAAACACGCGTGCGGGGTTCTGCTATTCTTAGCACCTTCACTGCTTAAGGCTCGAGGACTTCAAGGGTAGTTGATAGTGAGTGTGTATCCGAGGATAGACTGCTGGTATTTTTGACATAAAGAGACTTGGCTTGGGCCCATGGGCCGTACTTCGCAATACAACCGTGAAGTCTCTCGGGCAACAAAGAACCGTCATTGACAAAGTATTGCTCAGAATAGCTCACAACCAAAGCATCGCATTGTCAGATTTACCTGAATACCGATTCAGATAACTGTCTATTTTTGTTCAGCTGGTGGCTTTTCGTCAGTAAGCAACCTTTAGCCACACTTTGGCTTTCTGTATCTACTCCGGAGTTTGATAGATGTTGCCCTGTAGTGGCTAAAATATATTTTTGAGCCGCCGTGACTGATATTGGCATAAACCTTGCATCGCTGAATGTAGTTACTCGTAGTCCTAGAGTGTGTATGCCATTCAGAGGAAATATTCTAGAGTAGAATATGGATTCTAGTCTGTCAGTCTCATGATCAGTAGTTCTATCATGCTGCTCGCTTCAGTTGAATCTTGATGAATTCTGACTTCTCGTCCCTGCTTCCAGTCTCGACTTGAACGCTGAGGGGCGTTTCATGGTGCCGGTATGCAGCTGTATGGCCGGTACTGTAATGTATTTTTGATCTGCAGTAGTCCAACCATAATGAGCCGGAGGATTGTAGATCCAATCAACGAGCGCAATTGGAGCCCTCCATTAAGGCTCAAACGGTCATGCGACGTTATCTTACCGCTGACTTGGAACGGGCGATTGGAGCGCGCATAGAACGCTTTTCGCCAAATTAAATTGCATAGCTCGCCCCTGGACTGACATGGAGTGAGGCCAAGCCATCAATCTCTTACAGTATGACATACATGTTTCCAAGAAGAGAGGTTCACGGCGTGATGCCGTGCATCCTGAGTTCCTGGCTTGGCCTGCTCCTCGGTTCCTGAGGGGCTCGGGGATCCAGGTTTCATGTTCCATGGTTGCGCTCTGTTTTGCGTGCGGAGGAGATCAGGAGAACCTCAAGATGTAGACCTTCCAGGAAGCCAACTTAAATGGCAACTTGTATTGCTAGCATCCCTTAATATATACTCTGGACATTGAATAGACCGAGTCTCATCACACGCTAGCATTGTAGCTCTGATAATAATTTGCGGATCGACAGGGCGAGACCTGGTGGAGTTCCAATCAGGAAAACGACCCCTGAGCGAGAAGCCCACTTGGGAGCACTGGACTAACCACCACTAACCTCACCATCCTGAGTCAAGTGCACGCCGTTTCTTCCTCATTTCTCCCTTCTTCAACTCCTCCTCGTTACTGTCGTTGTCTGCGCCGCCGAGCGATGCCGCTGTCTGTCGACCACCTCCCACCGGCAGCTCTCCCGTCTTATCGCGTCTCTCGACTTTGACCCCTCCGACCCTCGCGTTTCACCCCTCGTTCTGACCGCCGAAGTGCATCGAACCTCGACCGAGAGAAAGCAAGCGACAATGGATCACTCTGAGCAACTCCCGTCGCGCCTCAGTTCAGACTCGGTCCGGACGGCTCAGCGAACCGATTCGATGGTGACCGTGCCTCTATCCTCGAATTCAGAGGATACACAGCCCGATTGGCGTACGCTCGAAATTCCTCAGACCCCTGTGCACGCCACGACACATTCCGACGACGAGATCAGCCCGAAAACCACACCCACCTCCGCGAAACCCGACCTTGGGTCGGAGCTCGCCCGGACGCGAATCAGCGAAGAACATGACCGGATCGACGGGCTCGAAGGTGATGGGGTGGACTGGGAAGAGTTGGAAAAGACCGAAGAGCAGGAGCCTCGGATGGAGGGATCTGATGAGGTATGTCTGGCACAAATGGCATGGAGAGACATAGAATTGACGATTCTAGACAACTGCCCTGTTACTGGCTCGCCTGGAACAAGAGAACAACGCGCTGGCCACGAACCCGAAATCCGGACTGGCCAAGGTTGCCGCTCAGCAGGCACAGGCACGTCCATCGCGGTCACAATCGTTGCATCACATCAAGCGATTGATTGATGAAGACCCTCGATCCTCTCTTCGCTACTCACAACTTCCACCTCCACCGATGACCGAGCTCGAATTTTGGGCGGCCCTCGTGGCAGACTACCCGCAAACCGTGCAGCGATTGCCGACTTTGACTTCGAATAAAATCAGAGGCGGCATTCCACCTCCTCTGCGCGGCGTCGTCTGGCCGAGCTTGTCCGGGGCTAGGGATCCGTCACTATTGACCGAATACCAAAAGCTCTGCGGCGAGACCAGTCCATATGAGGGACTGATCGGAAAGGACATTGGCCGCAGCTTTCCCAACGTCGAGATGTTCCGGGACCCAAATGGCGAAGGGCAGCAGATGCTTGGCCGCGTACTCAAATGTTTCAGCCTCTACGACACGAAGATAGGCTACTGCCAAGGCTTGGGCTTTGTGGTCGGTCCTTTGTTGATGCACATGACGGATGCAGAAGCCTTCTGTGTGCTTGTTCGGTAGGTTTCTCGGTATGATGCTTGAACGGCGCTAATGATTTCAGGCTCATGGACCATTATGACCTGCGAACCTGCTACCTGCCTGACCTGTCGGGTCTGCACCTGCGCGTCTACCAATTCCAAAATCTCCTCTCTCGTCTTCGACCAGCGCTTTTCGAGCACCTAGAAACACTTGGGGTTGAGCCGGTCTATGTTTCCCAATGGTTCCTCTCGTTCTTCGCCGTTTCCTGCCCCATGCCGATGCTACTCCGGATCTTCGATGTCATCTTCTTGGAGGGCGCTTGCGAGACTTTGATGCGCGTTGCACTGTCGCTAATGCAGCGCAACGAAAAGAAGATTCTGAGTTGCTCAGAGTTCGAAGATGTCATGCAGTTGTTGCTGTCCAGAAGTCTCTGGGATACGTAAGTTTGTTTTCTCTGACGCAAGACTCTTACTGACCAACGTAGCTACGCTTTTGACGCCGACGACTTTGTCAACGACTTCGTCTCTCTCACCACTCTCGTGACGAAAGAAAGCCTTCAAGCGTTAGAGACCAGTTACAACCAGTCGCAGGGAGTCCCCACCGGTATTACCTTCCCCCAGATGCAAGCGGCAGCTTCCAGATTCCTCGGCCGGTTCTGGGCTGGCTCAGGCCCTCACACCTCTACCAAGTCAATCAGCCTCAACCCGAACAACGCCTGTGGAACGAACAATCTCCGCCGGTCGACCTCAAAGCAAAGCATGGCCTCAACTCTCAACTCAGTTGAGTCGGCGTCGGACGCCAGCACGGCACCAACCGAGCTATCAGTCGAACCGAAAACACGAACGAAATCGTCGCTATCGCAGAACAAAGACCGCGATCTCCACACCCAGATCGAAGACCTTCTCATGGCACTCAGTGACCTCCAACGCCAACAGGCGGATCTTTCCCGCCAGCTTCAGCAGGAGCGTGAAGAGCGCGAGGAAGACCAAGCCCTCGCTCGATCAATGCTAGAATACATCAAGCAAACGAACGCAGACTCCGCACCACCAGAGCTCCTCAGCAAAGCAGAAGAGAAGTTCGCAGCGGTGGACTCGACGAGGCGACCGTCGATCGACCAAACCAAACAGCAACTCCGCGACAACGTGGAGCAGTGGAAGAACATGTACTCCGTCGAGGCCGGCCGGTGTCTCGACCTCACGCGGCGCATCGACGAACAGGAACAGGAAGCCACCTCGCTCCGCGAACAACTTCGCGAAGCACGCGGTCGGATCCAGGACGGATACCGTGATCGCCAGCGCCTGGAGCGCACTGTCCGTGACCTCCGCGCAATTAAAACGCCCACCCCGGATACACCCCCAGAGTCATATGGTTCGCCGACAAGTGATCACGGTGAAGGCTTTAGCTCCGGCGGACTTCGCGAGCTTAAACTCGCGCGATCCGCTTCGCAAAAGAGCGTCAAGACTACTACTTTCAACAAACGGTCTAGCAGTCTCGGCCTCCAGAATGTGCTATCCACAGAAAACAACAAACCACCGGGCGACGAAGCGCTGCTCCTGGAGTTGGTCAATGCCAAGACCGCAGAGGCGGTGGCTAAACAGGAACTGGAGGAAGTCAAGGCGAAGCTGGACTCGCTACGGAAGATGATGGGAGGGAAGGCGCATGGGTTGTCGCGATCTTCGACCACGGAGAATCGGAACTCGTTACTTGGATTACCACCAAATCCTGGCGTTTCGAAGACTCACACTGACGCCCCGGCGTCTTCGGGCGGGTTCTTTAGCGGGTGGGGACGATAGTATAGATCTTGTCTTTTGTATAGATGTTGATACGATACTGTGCTAGTACATACATTCACGATTTGTCGAAGTCCCCCTTGAGCGGTACTATAGTAGAGCCACTGCATGTTTATATCTACCTCCATGAGCCCGGGATTACTGAACTGACTTGATATGCAGCTGGTTGAGGGTGGAGTGGAGCGCAGCTTCCTGCAAGAGAATCAACGCTTCATGCCCTGCAGGAAGGCGCATCTCTGCCCGTGAAAGCGGCGTCAAACCATGGTCATCCTTCTTGACCGGGTTCGCCCCGCTGGCAAGTAAGATTCTGATCACATCTCTTAACTTCTTGGGATTATGAGATTTGCCTTCCTCCAGCTTGGGATCCACTGCATGGGACAGCGGGGTCCGACCGGTGTTGTCGCCAACGTCTACATCAGCGCCTCCTTCCAGAAGAATTCTCACGAATCTCTTGAATTTCCGCTGCGCCGTGTACGATTCATTGCCCACCCGCAGAACAGAAGAGATTGCATAGTGCAGCGGGGTGTGACCTTCATTGTCTCTGCTATTGATATCAACTCCGTCCGCGTTAACCAGTATCTGGATGATATGTTCGACCTGGTCGTAGTCGACGGCCGCATACGACAACGCGCTGCGGCCGTCGTCGTCCTTAACGTTGGGGTTTGCCTTGTATGTGTCGAGAAGGAGCTTGATTAGCCTTGCGCTCTTTTTCCATGCAACGACGGCGACCGAGAGAATAGATCTGCCATTGGCATACTTTTCTTCCACGCTTACGCCGTCGACACAGAGGAGGATTCGGCATATGTTCTCACTCCCGTATACCGCGGCAACATGGAGGGCATGCTGAGCACACCTGGCTTTCTCATTGGGTGGGAATCCTTCATCGTCTAGGATGAATCTGGCAATTGACTCGTTTCCACCTATTCCGGCATAGTCTAACAGGTCGCGTCGGCTGGAGCGGACTTTGTCCATGCCAGTCGCTCCCACGAGTAGCTTGAATACTGCATCGTGCCCGCCCATTGCGGCGCGTTGTAGCGGTGTTAGGCCGTTTTCGATCTTAATGTCCGCATTTGCCCCTCGGGCTAGAAGGAGCTTCATCATCCTCTCGTTTCCCGTCTCTGCCGCGATCCCAATGGGACTCCCTTTGTACTTTGTCCTGGCCTCGAGGTCGGCGCCGGCATTGGCAAGAACATTAAACACTTCTTCATGGCCCCGCAGCACGGCAGCATACAGCGGAGTAGTTTCTCTCAGTTTCTCTCGGTTTTCTATAAAGGAGCCCTGGTTGAGAAGGTCCTGCACCAGATCTGGAAATCCGTATGTTGCTGCAAACCATAGCGGGGTCTGTCCATGGTCGGTCTTGGGGTCGACATTGCCCATCTCATCTTCGCGGATTAGGGCTCTGCACGCCTCGACCAGTCCAACGCATGCAGCCAGATGCACGCCACGTACTCCAGCCTGAAAGTCCCGGGAAAGACTTTCCCAGTTCTGTTTCACATACCACCTCTTACCCCGTGGTAAAATGACCTGGAAGCAGGCGTCTACGTTACCCGGCTTCCTGAGCAGTTTTAAAATTAGTTTCATGTCTGAATTGTGCTTCCGGGAATGGGATGCCCAGTTCTCAGCTGAGTACTCAAATAGGGGATACTCTCTGAGCCTGGCATCAAAATCCTCGAACTTCCACAGAGTGCCGCTCTTGAAGGCGTCAAAGCACAAGTAGTGGACGCACTTGCTACCAATATCACGGTGTGCATGGGGGAGTATACGAACCTGGTTGCGCTCGAAGTACTCCTGGGTCGTGTAGTGCACCAATTTCACTACAAGTTCCTGCTGGTCAACTATCACGAGCCCACCGCAGACGGCAATCAGATCCTCAATCTCCGGGATGTTGTCTTCATCCAGGTAAGGCTGGTTATCCTCAATGGCAAGACCGTGCTGTAGTTCACGTGTAGTCAGAGGACGAGTTGCGCAGGAGATCCACGAAAGGACTTCCTTTGCCGTCTGCACTTCGTCCGGAAGTTGGTTCTCTATGCGGCTCCAGGCGTCTTCGTATGCTGCATCGAGGCCGGATGGTAAAGTCTTGAGGCTTTCTCGCACCTGCTTTACTGAGCGTTTTCCTTGGATTGAATCGATATGCAGTCGGGCTAGGAGGAACCTATTCAACTAGTCAGCATGGACTTTGACGCACTGAGCGGCCCACTTGCATTCCATCTATCGACGCGGCAATTGCACTGATAACCTCCTGCTGCAGGTCTTCCCTCTGCTGCATAACTCTTGGAAGATTGTCCAATTGGCCTCTAAGAAAGCGTTCGACGTCTGCTGCACTGGCTCGGATTCGGAGGTTCGGTTTCCCTTCGAAAAGCGCACTGATGTCTGGATAGTCCCTTGATGTTACAAATAGCCCTAGGTTCCGGGTTTTCTGCAGACCGAACAGCTCAAGAAGCAGTTTCTTCCGTTGTCCGGGTGGAAGATAACACTCGTCTAGTGCGTCCAGGACAACGAACGTCGTTGGAAGCTTTGCCAGTGCAGAGTCAAGGGTAGCCAGACATTCGTCCACCGTGAGCGACGTCCCCATGTCCAGATGCTTTTGGTACGTCGTCTCAAGAAATCCCGGAATGTCTGGCTGCTGTTGAAGCACCTGTCTAACCAGGATCGACAGAATCTCAAGCAGCGTGGTCTGCTCCCGGAAGTTGCAGTAAAAGAAACCAAGCGCGATCCTTTCCTGTGCCAGGATATTCTGTATTTCATTTATCACAATGGACGTTAAAAATGTCTTTCCAGCACCAGGAAGCCCGGGGCAGAACAAGCTACGTTGATCTGTCGGAGTCTCCTCGTCCTGCGCCATCCATTTCCCGAACTCGTCGGACTCAAGCAGCCAGCTCCCAGTCCCCGGCTGCACCCGCCCGAAGAAATCCGCTTGTTTAGCTTCATGTGTAGTTGGCGACAGCCAATTCAGGATCTCCCGTCGCCGCTGTTCGTCTTGATGCTGAACGAGCTGGTTGACGCCGTGTTGAGTGACGGTCACAATGTCCTTCGTTTCGCGGCTTAGCTGGCTGTATACTGCCCGTCAGCACACCTCTCAGTGATCTATGGATGACAGTGACAACTGACCGATTACACTCCGTCAAAAACAGTCCAAATGCATTGATGTTTGTATCGATCCGCCGCCGAAACGAATCAATCTCCGCCTGGTCCCATGTCAACCTGTTCCACACTCGTCGGCCTGCTTTTCTGAGTCCCGGCCGTGGTCCGACCCTTGTATCGGTTAAGAGGCCATCGTATCTAGCGACCGTCTTAATCAAATCTTGTAACACATCGCAGCAGCCCTGTGAGATTTCGTTTAGCGTCTTCTGCTGTTGATCATCGAGGTTGTCTGCCGGCTCATGGTCGTCAATGTCTCGAAGGATATTCGATAGTCGCTTGACGCTGTTTGATCTGATTTAGAATGGGCGTCTCCCGGAATACGTGGGGGAGTGTTCGTAACTCACTCGTCGCGTATGACTTGGAGCTGCCCCGGCGCATCATTAAACTGCTTCCGCACTGCATTCGCGAGTTTCGATACGGCGATGAAATCGCCAACGCCAAATCCGAAACTCATCTTCAGGATGCGAGTGCGATCACTCTGGGGTTCAATGCATGGTGGACTTTTGTACGCTCTCGACCGTGGAGTTGATAGCGGGGTTGTGCTGACCCTGAGCTGAGGCTTTGCTGCAGGTGAGATGCAGGCTGCATAGCCACCGCAGCGTCACCATCTGCGCGCGACGATGGGAACGAGGGCGTCAAATGGCTGGCTGGCGCGTAGAACGGGTGCTCTATGTTTTGGGCGGTATTGAAAAAAGATTAGGGCTTGTCTTGCGAGAGTGGGACGCGCAAGAAGATAAATTGCGATGCATCATCCGTGAATCGAACACGGGCCTCATCGATGGCAACGATGAATTCTACCACTAGACCAATGATGCTTCTTATTGGAGAAGGCTGTAATTTTGTGCAACATAACTCAAACGCGCTATTCAGGCCGCCAACTAAAGATCTCCGCATCCAGGTATATCAATCATTGCATACTTGGATCTGCTGAATTGGTACATAGATCTTCTCCAGTTTGTCCCAGCATACTTCACCGAATTTTCCATCTCAGACAGTGTCTAATCTGGCGCGGCGATTTTGAATTCACAGTAATCGGGCCGATATATATTTATATATATTTGTGTCATGTGCAGCCTTCACTACGTAGGTCCCGTTATTTCTAGGGCGCAGGCTTTAATACCGGGAGTAATGCGCGTGGCGCGGAAGGCTAACCTAGCTAAATTAGGAAATAGGGCATAGCTTTATTTCTTTATAAAATAGGGCCTTTAATAAAAAGATATTATGTATTTATAGTAAGAACTAATTACTAATTTTCTTCTTTAAGTTAAAGTTTTAAGTTAAACTTAGTATTTTATATATTATATAACTAGCCGCTACCTTGGCGCGGGGCTAGTTTAGTACTAAAGCTTTTTTATTAGGCAGCCTTAGGCTATTATATATTATATAACTAGTTATTACCTTAGCGCGGGGCTAGTTTAGTACCAAAGTCTTTTTATTAGGCGGCCTTAGGCTACTATATATTATATAACTAGCTACTATCTTAACACGGGGCTAGTTTAGCGCTAAAGCTTTTTTATTAGGCGGCCTTAAACTATTTTATATTATGTAACTGGCTGCTATCTTAGCGCGGGGCTAGTTTAGTGCTAAAGTCTTTTTATTAGGCGGCCTTAGGCTACTATATATTATATAACTAGCCGCTGCTTTAACGCGGGGCTAGTTTAGCGCTAAAGTTCCCTTGTAGGCGGCCTTAGGCTACTATGCATTATATAACTAGCTGCTGCCTTGGCGCGGGGCTAGTTTAGTGCTAAAGTCTTTTTATTAGGCGGCCTTAGGCCACTATGCATTATGTAACTAGCCGCTGTTTTAATACAGGGCTAGTTTAGCACTAAAGTTCCCTTGTAAGCAGCCTTAGGCCACTATATATTATATAACTAGTTATTACCTTGGCGCGGGGCTAGTTTAATACTAAAGTTTTTTTATTAAGTGGCCTTAGGTTATTATATATTATGTAACTAGCTGCTACCTTAGCGCGGGGCTAGTTTAGTACTAAAGTCTTTTTATTAAACAGCCTTAGGCTATTATATATTATATAACTAGCTACTACCTTAGCGCTGTACACCTTACTAAGTTTATAAGGTAAATATATATATTTAACCTAGCTTAATTAAAAAATAGGGCATAGCTTTATTTTTTTGTAAAATTAGGCCTTTAAGTAATATTTAAAAATTTTATAAATATATATATTTATGGTAAAGCTGGGAAAGAAAACGCGGTAAAAAAAGATTATATAATTACTATTATAAAGTTAAAGCGGTAAGAAAAGGTTATATAATTACCCTTTTTTTTAGCTAATTAGTGCCCTTTTTTTAATTAATTAGCGCTATTTTACTGTTTTACATAATCCCTAATAAAGCTTACGTGACTGGGAGCCGGGACCTCCAATGAGGTTATAGTTAGGGTTGACTAAAGCCCGCGGGTTAGGCATCCGCTAAGGCGCGCTAGTCCTAATATAGTAGGCAGGCTAAGATTTAGCCTAAATATATAAGCTAATTATTTTATTTTTTTTATATTTTATTAACTTTACTAGGTACTAAGTTATAACTAGTTAGCTTTACTAGCTAACTTTATAGTAATATAAAAAAACTAGTTATTAATTAAATATATTAACTTTTTTTTTTTAAAATTTTTTTTTTTTTTTATTTTTACTTTTTACCTACCTTAAACCTAACTAGTTAAAGCTAACTAGTTAAGAGTAACTAGTTATTACTTCTTATTAATTATTTTTATTACTTAATTCTTAATTAGTTATTACTTAGTGCCTAACTAGTTATTTTTTAGTAATTATTTTTTATAAGTTTATTTTTATTAATATTTTTAACTAGTTACTACTTAGTTCCTAATTAGTTATTTAGTATAATAATAAAAAACCAGGTACTTAAAACCCTTTTAAAGTACTAGTAATATATAAAATTATATATTACTAGTATTTTTAAGCTCCTAAAATTTAAGATTATAAGTTAACTAAATTATAACTAGTTAATAATAAGTTACTAACTAGTTTAATTTAATATTAATCTTACTAATAGTAAGCCTAAAATACCTAAAATTTATATTAAAAAGTAATAATACTAGTACCTTAAGTACACCTTACTAGTAAGTTAATTAATATTTAACTAGTGCCTAACTAGTAACTAACCTTTTATTTAAAAAAATTATAGTATAAAGTCTAACCTTACTAGGCATGTTAAAAAAATATATATTAAAAAAAAAACCCTTTTTACACCCCTAACTTTTACTTAACTAATTATAATAAAGAAACCCTAAATAATAATAAGGTTAATAATATAATTAATAAATAAATAACCTATCCCTAACTAGTTACTAATTAATTATTAATAAGTAATAAATTAATATAAGGCGCTTATTAAAAACCATATTAATTATTAAAAGGCTTAAGCTATAAAAAAAAAAATAAGTATAGTAATTACCTATTTTTAACTAGTTTTTAACTAGTTAAATATTATAAAAGTAATACTAGCTAATTAACTCCTACTCCTAGCCCTAAAAAAAAGGTAAGTTTTTTAATTAATAAGTAACTAGTTACTAACTAATTAGCCCTATTATTAATCTTATTTTTAATAAGGTTAATAAAACTTTTATTATTATACTTAAAAACCTTATATAAGTCCAAGCCCTAACTAGTTTATAACTAGTTACTAACTAGTTACCTTTAAATCCCCTTTTTTTTTTTAACTATTAAGCGCCCTTTTATTTATTATTATTATAGTTATTTATAATATAGTAATAAAGGGCTTAAAATATATATATAAACTAAATATCCCTAACTAGTTACTAACTAGTTATATACTAGTATTATTTTAACCTTTTTTAAAAATAATAACACCTAGGTTAAATATAAAAAGTTTATTAAGCTTAATAAAAAATAAAAAATATAAGTTATTTTTATATTAACCCTAATTAATTATTAATTAATTACTTACTAGTTACTTTTTTTTATATAACTAAAAAAGTATTAAGCCCCCCTTACCCTTTAATAAAAATAAACAAGTAAGTTTTTTTAACTAGTTCACGACTAGTTTTTAACTAGTTTAACTAAATAACTTTAAAATTTAAAAGCTAGGTAAGTAACTTACTTTATAAGCTTATAAAACTAATTTTAAAGCTAATATAAAGCCCATGGTACCTTATATAAGTTATAAAAAAGTAAAGGCTAAGCATAAGTTCCCCTAATTAATTTTTAATAAGTTACTAACTAGTTAGCCTGTAAAAGCACCTCCATTTATAACTTTTAAAAGTTTTATTAAATATTTTATTATTTTAATACTTAAAATACTGCGCAGGAAAAAAAGGTATAAAAAAAAAACTTAATAAAAAGTAACTATAAGCTATAGTAAAAAAGGTTAAAAAAAATTAATAAATAATTAAAATTAGCTTTTTTTAAAAATATAATAATTAGTCCTTAACTAGTTACTAACTAGTTACTAGTTATTTATTTTTTATTACTTTATTTTTTTTTTAACTAGTTCTTAACTAGTCACTAGCTATTTGTCTTTTATTACTTTATTTTTTTTTAAAAACATAGTAACTAGTTCTTGACTAGTTCTTAACTAGTTATTAGCTATTTATCTTTTATTACTTTGTTTTTTATATACATCTAAATTAAAAAGTGATTTTTATTTTCTAAACATTTAATATATATAAAGTAAATAAGTATAATAGTTAATTTATATTATATAAGTAAATAATATAATAAAAATTAAAAAAAATATTAAAATTAGCTAATATATTATTTAAAAAAAGGCCTTTTATAATATATAATATTTTTATTTATAAAGAGATATATAGTATTAT